CACACACACACATGCACACACACACACATGCACACACACACACATGCACACACACACACATGCACACACACACACATGCACACACACACACATGCACGACATCTCTCTTTGCCCTACTCCTATTCTTTCTCTGCTTCGACAAAGCTAATTCTTTTCTTTCATGTGTGGGATTTGAACAGCGGCTACAACATTACAACTTTACTCGAAGGAGAAAATATTCAACCGCGTCATTGCAACAGGAGGATCGTGTCTTCTTACACCCACCTTTCCTAAGGAAGCTTGCGAGGGCATGTACACTCAAGCACTGAGTTTCTTGGGTCTAGAATCTCTCGGTGTAGACGAACGGATCAACAAACTCCTCACTCTCCCCGCCGACGAAATCATCGCGAAACTTCCTCCGTTCGTACAGTTTGTGCCGGTGATCGATGATGAAATCGTTCCCGTTCGACCTACCTATGCGTCCATCGGAGATCCGTCCGACAAGAGCATGTCGGGGAAAGAATGGGCTGACGGCGTCATGATTGGAGATAGCCAGTTTGATGTAAGTTTACGACAGGACTCAGTTTCTTCGGATTGCCTCTTGGTTGTCAGGACGCAAAAGCGAATAATGATACTCCTGTTTGTACTGTCCATGATACTGACATATCACTCTCTGTACAGGCCTCCGTCTTTGGGTTTCTGATGGCCCACCTTAAACCAAACTGCCGCGAGAACTTCTCCAGGTCACTCCGCAAGACGTTCGCCTCGACTCCCAAGGTCGGCGAGACTTTGATCGAAGCATACTCCCTCGGAGCCCCTGCGTCCCCGAATCAAGCCGAAGACGACGAGATTTCGTTCAAGAATTTCCTGAAGTTCGCCACCGACATCGGTTTCTACTCGTCCACGCTGACTTTTGCGCGCGGATGGTCCGAGGGTGCCGGGAAGGTGTACACGTATTTCTTGAACGAGCCAAACCCATGGCCAGGTGCGTACCAGGGCGAGACCACCCACGTGTTTGATGTGGCGTTATTGTTCCAGAACTACAACGACAAGTTGCCACCGGAGCAAAAGGCCGCCGCGGAAGGGTTCGGATTGGACCTGATGAAGTTCGTCGCGGGCCAGGCACCCTGGCAGAGTTATACCCCCGCGCACAGGGCGGCAAAGGTGTTTGGACCGTCCCTTGGCAAGGGACAAGCCGCTGCGAAGGTCATTGATGATGCCGAGTCTCCTGAGACGGGGAGACGAATGACGGTGTTGGAGTTGAGCAAGGAGGTTGGCTTTGACGCTATTTCTCGGGGCCTGGGGAATTTTATTATGGGGTTGTAAGGGGAGGCGCAAAGGCAGGAAGGCTTGGGGCTATGTAGGCGTCGCAGATGAAGACGATGACCTTTATTGAGCGATGAGAGAGGCCCACACTTATATGCCTGTACGTATGGATACCTCCATTGGAAAGCGACCATGTCAAATCACGTCTGGTTACATACCAAGTCATATATATACACCTTTTCCTTGGTCGTCCCTTCTTCATTAGCTTCTTTCCGCTTAGTTCGCCCCGGCCAACATACAACTCCCTGAGCGAGTCCCTGAGCCTCCGTGAGCCTTCTGGTCTTCCATCGTCCTCTTCGTTACACGACACCAACTTTCTTAATACTTCAAGCCACAGCAGGGAGTTGGCTCTGTGTCCATGGAGCATCTTCGTATCCGTCTCAATTTCAGCCTGATGGGAGAATTTTGTTCAACTCTGCAAGAGCAAGTGACATCTCGTCATTGCAATCACTAGTCTACTACTGATAGTACTGTGGAAATGGCTACCAAATATATCTGTGGTTGAGAATCAAGAGTTACTACAAAACTCAAGTAGATGATCGAGTTTCTGGACACGCTTCCACCGGAACCCGAATCGAGCATGGAGACCCATGGCAAAGCTTCCGCTCAAGAAGACATAACGATAAACGAGTCTTTCGTACAAGGCGACTCCGGCGTACAGACTGTTGATCTCAATGGTACTTCGGAGCCGCCAGCAAGTACTGAGTCGAACCGATGGACTGGAATGAGGGACCATAACAAAGCGTCTTTCACGCCATCAGAGACACAAGTAGATGAGTTGGCAGATAGTGAAGCTATCGCCGACTCATCAGCTTCAGAGGTCGAAGGTAATCCGTCACAGTCTAGCACTGCTCCAATACATACTGGCCCTCCAGCCTCTCCTAGGACGGCGCCAGGATTTCGGGATGCCAAAATCGCCTTCGCCATTGATATTTCTGGGAGTACCTGGGGGCCGGTCCTGGAGGCAGAAATCAGAGCTGTTCGTGAGATTTCTTCTCTCCTCCCCGGACCCACCAGACAGGAAGTTACTGTTCTACCATGGAGTGACTTCGCACATCTTCCAGCAAGGCTGCTCGATCTCGACGAGCTGGATCCCGACGGTGGAACAAGACCAAGCGTTATCATCGATGACCCGGAATGCCGATACGCTCTCCAAGAGTCTTCTTTCTGGTTTCTGATGACGGACGGTGATATTCTTCCTCCTGACGTCCGCCAATTTGCTCGAGGCCTGGTTGAGTATGGGCTGCATGCTCTGGCATCAGTAGTGGCGATCTTTGGCGAGCGAGAACAGCCTCCTGCTCAATGCAATGTTTCGGTCGGTTTGTCAGTGTTTGCGGTAAGCCCGCACTGTGCCTTTCTGTACACGGACACCGCCACCTACCAGACGTATGTTCTCCAGACCAAAGGCTGTTTCTCAGCCTTACTACCTCGAGGCAAGACGAACCCAAAACTCCAGGATGATACTCGCTGGCAAGATCTCCCCAGGATCTCCTATGAAAACCTTGCGCGTATCAATGTCCCGCCCCGGCAAACTGTGGGCGCTGACGAAGTCGTACTCAGCGATAACAGTCGGGTCAATTTGTCTCGGCTTCTCTCGAACAGTGAGGTCAATATGGACGTAGCGCATCAGATTCTCGACAATGAAGATAATGTCAAAACTGTCGCGCTAACGGCGAAGCTCAGAGGCCAGGCAGACGAGCTTCGCAAGTGGCTCGACGCCGTGGAGAGAACACACGAAGAAGCCTACCGTTCAGCAAGCATGGAACAAAAGTCTACTGGACAGGACTCAAACCTCTTCACTAATGCAATCTCTCAGTTGATGGCTGAGGAGACAAGCGACAGTGTCCGGCATAGTCCCACACAAGTTAGACCCGTGGTCATCCACAACATGGCCCCTTTTCCTCCTCCTCCACCATCACCCTTGGGCTCACCCCAAGCCAGTGACAGCCTTGCTGCCGTTGGCCTGTCATCTCTCGGTCCCCTGGCACCTCCCAGTGTTGCGCAACAGTCACACCGTCGGACATCCTCCGGAATATCACATTGTCGCCGGGTCTCTGAAAATAATGACTCTATTTCTGCATCGAACAACATAGGCAGCGTCGACTATGACGTCTATGCAGATTACCTGTCACCTTTACCGCCCGAAACGAGCTTGTCTGCGACTCAACAAACGTTTAGGCGAGTAGACAGATCTAGCTACTCCGAAAATCTTTCCATACCTGGATTCCGAAAGCCTCAGTTCCAGAAAGACTTTTTCAGGGGCCGTTGTCCCCGATGCGGAAGAGAAGATCGTGTCCTTGCTCTTCTTTTGGGCCCCTGTGCGGAGGATGGTCGTACAGAGAACTTTCCTCCTCCCCAGAGCTCATCAAGGTTGTTCTACCCGCTCACCATGGGCAACTATCCGGAGACGGACATCATATCTACGACAATCCGCTGCGACCACTGCAGCTCTAGACTGTTGAAAAATTCATCGCTGCCGGACGATAGGAAGTTTGAAGCTGCTTTGCCGCTTGTTTCGTTTGCCAAAAATGAAGCAGCATGGTTGCAGACCGTTAATCTAGCTACTCAAAAACGGTTTTGCACCGATGATCTTAGCCTGATCTTTCTGTCGATTCTATACACAAAGTTGGAGAGGCTGCTTGATGAGGAACCGTCTGACGAAGCTTTCACACTTCGCCTTGGGATTGAGTGGGCATGTGGAACTCTTTTGAGAGAAGTACGGACATGCAACCTCCGAGTCCTCAGTCCCGTGCCTATGCTGGAAGTACTGCAGACCTTGGAAGACGACATTGTGTCAACCTTCCGCCTCGCTCTTGAGGGACAGTCGGCAACCCCGCTGCTGCGATATCCACTTGACGGTTTCATCATAACCAATGTGGCGCTATCCAACACGAAAAACAAGACGAAATTTAGCGTGGCAAAGCGCCAGCGACTCGTCTTCTTGCGATTCCTGTTCTACCTAGCTGAGCGGTACGAAGAGATCGCGTCCGAGTCTGGCGAAGTCGTGCTGGAAGCTTTGAAGCTGCATATCCTGCTCCTCAACGATCCCAATACGTCACGGTCGCTACTGAACCTGGAAAGGCTGCGTCAATTCTCGGTGTACGATACGAAAAACCTTGTGAAGAATCTGCCGAAGCGATGGGGCGGCGGTCGGCGTGAGCGGGCGTCAAGGCACCAGAGGCTGTCCATCTCGGTGAGAGATCTGCTTAGTACGCCGTTCTTGGATGAGCAGACTTTGCGCGTGTTCCAGAGACTTGGAGGTCTCTTCACTTGGGTCGAGAATCATACTTCCCATGCCATTGCTGTCTTCCTGCACTACCTCTTCTACCTGGACACGCCACTCATCAGGGCAGCCGACCGCTTCGACGGGATCAGGGCCGGACCAGAAATCAGGGAAGTCATGGAAAATCCCACCAAGGTGAGCGCAAATATCGCCGAGGTTCTGATAGAGAAGGTACAAACCCAGTTGTTGTTCGCCCCAAAGGGGGACGCTGCTGTGAAACTTGGGGTTTAAGCATGGCCGTCATTGCATATCTGTTGTTGAAGTGGTATCAGAGGATCTGGCAATTTGTCGATTTGCTCATTCGGAATATCTTATCGTCGTGGTAGGAGTGAGTTGAATTTCCGTCAATGGTTCCAGCCCTGCTGGCATCGAACCTGACTGATGTGAATTATTTGCGGGATCACCTGCGTTTGATCGATTACATACGAAAGACTAAGTTACCATTTACTTGAAGAAAGAAACGCACCCACCAGTACAACACACTCGCGACTGCAGTATTATGCCGCTCAGGCTCCTCCACCAAGATGAGGCTCAAGACCCGTATTGGGATACCGTAGTGAAGCACTGGAAAGGCACTCATCAGTGCTATGGACCCATGCTTGAAGCTTGGAGGTGGAAAGGTGGAACCAAACCGCCCCACGTTCTCCAACAAGCCCCGTATATACCTACACCCCCTACTGTACGAGGAGGAGTTGGTGCTGGGGTGTCAATTCATGTCATTGGCGAGGAAATGAGGGACATTTGTTGGTGGGGGGCTGTGCGACGTGGTCAAGAAGCTGAAACCGAAGAATTTGTTTTCGAGGACATGATTGAAGACAAGTCGGGTAGTTGATCTAAAGTCAATTGCACTTGTGAGATCCACCTCTGTCAAATTCTGAAGAGGTTGAAAGGTTCCCGGGGAGCCTTAGGCTATCTACCTGATATAGACGTCTAACTAGCTGAGCGGTAGAAGGCCAGGAGCCCAAGGACTGATCTCCAGGGGGGCTGCTAACTAGACCTCCGTTACCCCCGGATTCTGACAACCTCGAGGCCCCGCAATGACTTTCGCGGACTTCTATCGTCGCCCGCAGCGCTTTGGGTACGCGTTCTACAACTCTCGCCGATACCCCGGCTTGCCCTCATTCATCGCCTTTGAGATACTTTCTTTATTGCTCATCGTCGTGACTTTACGCCTCTCAAAACCCAACTACCCAAATCTCTCGTTCAGCCAACGGCCTACAAAGTCCAGACCTCACTCATTCAAACTCCAACTTTGTCCATCGACATCAGTGCGAGAATGAGAAGCTCTGCGCTGCGGCCTTTTGCTCTTCATTCGAGGTCGACTGACATCATTCAAGACGAGTCTGGAATCAAGAGAAGACCAAAATGGACATGAAAGCACGGTCCGAAAAGATGCCAGACACACAAGCCATCGACCTCGATCTTTTCTATCTGATGGGAGAATTTGTCAAGAGACTCGGCTCCCCGAACCTAAACAATTCAGCAAATGTCTTTCCCCCACACATCAACAGCAATGACCAGTGTTCCACGCCTCGCTTCAGCTCTACATTAAACATCGCGAAAAAAAGATGTTGGATGATCGGAGCAAATCAACGGATGTGGAACGTCTCCTCGACGACCTCTCCTCGCTCAAGCAGCTCAATCGCCTGACCCTGCCCTGCATCAGGCCATGCACGTAACATTCACCAACAAGAAGGACCTTGCCGTCATGCCACGGTCGCAGCACAAATGGCATTTTTCCGCCAAACAGGACGCACACTATATCGCCCTTTTCCATCACCTTGGGCCCGAGCACGTACCGACCGTGGGCGGTCCGGCCGAAAGACCGATTGCTGGCCGAGCCGTTCGCAGCACGAGTCCATTTGTAAAGATCACCACCGACAGCCTTGTCCCTAAGTCCTGCAGAGACCAGATCAGTATCTGCCAATGCTGCTGTCAGATAAGCTGCGGCCTGGGCAAACCACTCTTCGCGTTCAATCTCATGGTAGTGCCGCGCGTCCCAATAGGCCGTTGGAATACCCCCACTGCTCAGGGTCTGCGTGTAGGCAAAGACAGCATGGTCACTTTCTGGGTCATCAAGATAGCGGTCTTTGAGATCAAAGCCCTTCTTTCCGCAGATTTGGCGCCACAACGACTCAATCGCCAGGATACGGCGGGATCTGTCGAAATGGAACTCTTTCTGCTGGATGGGGTCTGAACAAGCCTAGTTTTCAGGATTTTGGCCGCCTTCTCGATTTCAAGATTTGCCGGCCTGTCAGCATGCGCATTGTGAGAACTGGTCGGTTCGGACAGAAGGTGAGACTCGTGCTCCCGCCAGTCTGGCACCCACGAAGGCAAAAGCATGGCGTCGGCCGAGTGTCGCGCGTGTGGTCCGTCTGACATTTTTGATGGCAACCATGGATGCTGGATCACGGCAAGCGTAATGAGGGATTTGCCAGGATCCCCAATCAAAGCTCGTTCCGCGATGTCGCAGTATACCTCCTCGACGGACTTGGTGTAGTCCGCCTGGATGGCCGCAAGCTGGGGATTCCCCTCGCGCACGGCATAGTGGCCGAGAAAAGCAAAACCCCGATCGCGAGGATCAGTAAACGTGCAATGGGCCGCTCTGTGAAGCTCATACATGAGGCTGAAGCGGTTTGCATGGCGGCCTGCCTTATCAGGCTCGACGAAGCGCTTGTAAAGATATTCGATGTCGGTCGTCCGCAGGCCAAAGTGCTTGCGCATATGGTGGAAATCGGAAAGGTGTCGTGCGACGTTCCAGATGAGGTCCCAATCGCACTCTGAGTCGCCCCAGTACAATGTCGCGGGTGCCTGGGTCCCAATTTCCTGGATAATCCAGATTCTGGTGAACTTTGTCGGCAGTTAGCTCAATGCTTGCCATCCTGAAGGGAACCCTGACATACCCAAGGCAGTGCAATGAGGTGCTTCAGTGGAGCCCATTGCGCTTCAGGTTGATCTCGAAGGTGTTCTGTATTCATGAGACGAAACCTCTCGTAACTTTCGCCATTCTGGAACGTCTGATGAAGGTTGCGGATTAGCTGAAAGGCGTCTTCTGCTTCCGCATCGCGGTCCTTTCCAAGATACACAAGGACTCGGGTCGCATTCTTGTAGATGGCGTTCATGAACTGCACTTGCTGACTTCGCTCCTCCAGGTGATCCTGATTTATCGAAAGTTGGTCCACCCATACTCGACGGCACTGGTCAGCCCGCCTGAATCGTCGCAGTGCTTGTTCGAGACTTGCGGTTAGACAGAGCCTTTTGTCATTACAGACGATATTACGGCTGCGGCTGGGATCTTCCCAGACGTAAGACACCGGTTCGTAGTCTCCGCCCAGGTGCCCTTCTGGGTCCTCGGCTACAATTGCCCGGCTGTGCTCTCAGTGGTCGGGAAAACCCATGAACATGGCGGACTGGCTCCAATGGTTCGCCTCTGATGTTATTGGAGAAGTCCTGTTCTCGAAACAATTCGGGTTCCATGATTTTAACTGTTTGTATCGGTTGAGTTACCTCATGTAGGTACCTACCTTAGGCTTAGGCACTAACTAACCCCGCATCACAAGACTACTTTATAGACCCCAGATGGAGATGATATCCAGGTTCACATATTGACAACAATGATCTTCATCTGAACTTCAAGGGACAAACCAGCCGCTTACATCGTCACCCAGACTTAGGACCCTTGGGCCTGAGAGCCTAGAGAGTGCATGACCTCATGTCGACGTCGAATTCAGCGAACAGACCGAGAGCTTGTGAAGAGTGTCGGCAACAGAAAGTAGGTCAAAGTCCGATCTCTACTCATTACCCTATCGACCTCCCTCTCTTAGCCCTGAACCAAGCTATCCTGAAGCTCACACCTGCTAGATAAAATGCGATGCGCATCTTGACTACTCGAAACCATGTTCCAAGTGTAGGAAGGCGGGGGTGCAATGCATCTTCATAACCGACTTTACAAGGAGAAAAACTCGATCGTACGCCGCTCTTGCCTCTTGCCTCTTGGACAAGGTGTTGTTTCGGCTGACTATCTCATGTATAGGAAGGCAAAGATGCAGCGTGAGATAGATGGACTCCGGAGAGCGCTTCAGCTTGTGGACGAAGTAGAGGAACCCAGAAATGTTCCCCCTTCACCTCCACCACATCTCCATCTCCATCATCCCCCATCCGTGGCCGCTGCAGTTGTACCACAATCTGACGCTGGAGTCTCTTCATTTTATCCATCGCTTGAGATGCCATCTACACTTACAGAAATTCCACACCCCGGGCAACGCAGTGGTATTCCGACAAGCTCTCACAATCCGTCGGCCAGACACTCATCACCCTTTCAGTATCCCTACCATCCTCCATCTATTACTACTATTCCTTCGGCGGCGCAACCTGAAACCAGCGTCAACCTTTTCTCCCCATTGCTAGATGGCCTCGAAATTGAGCCTCAAAAACTGGAGGATTGCTACTCCTTGTCAGTACTTCCTTTGGACAATCACTCCCTTTTCTGTTCGATGTTGAGTCTGGGATAGGTATTTCAAACATTACCATTCAATTATACCAATTTTGGATCCACAACAAAGCTGCCGCGACTGCTTCCAACATTCACCATTGCTGTTCTGGACCGTCATTGTGACAGGCTCAAGAAGATACAGCTTTGATCCAACATTGCTGGAAATGCTGACTCCCAAAGTCGCCAATCTTGCAGCACTGGCGACGATCAGAGCTTCCGAGTACATCCAGACTATTTCTGCACTACTTCTTCTCTGTGTTTGGCCGTTACCAATGGAAAATGCATCAGATGACCCCTCGCCTGTTTATGCAGGAGTCATCATGCAGCTTTCTCAACAGAACGGTCTGCATATGCTTAGCAAGAGACAAGATTTCTCACAGAACCACTTGATCAGAGATACCAATAGCGATGTCTTTCTTGCTACTCTGTGGGTTTGGTGCAAGCTGATCTGCTGCTGGTAAAACTCCAACCCCACCCCAAAGTAGCTGATTATTAATTTCTACTATCAGTGTTAATGTGTACTGCGGCTTACATCCTCACCTCTTTCAAGACGCCTTCGACTTGGAGCCACAGAGCAATGATGTCCTTGACTCTTTGAGCAAACCCATCTTTTGGATGCTGCGGTTTGTCGGCCTTGTGTCAAACGCCCATCACACTTTGATGAGAGGCAGATATGGAGAAGAAGACGTTGAGATGCCCTACCAGCTGTTATCTATGGTCAAATTCTATGACGACGAGATCTTAAGGATCGGGCAACAAGCTCAGGTGTATCTTGGTAAGGGACTTCCTCCTCACTCTGGCCCGCCTTTCTCTAGTTTCGAAAAACTGATCATCAGCAGCTGGGATCTATTTCAACTCTGCTAGGTTGCACATTGGAGCGTATTATTTCTTTATCTCCAAGCCCTCGCCTTCGAAGCTCTCACGTCTCGTTGAGCTCCACCACATTGCCTGCGCCTTTATCGACAATATCACGGATCGAGATCAAAAGGACGACTACGCTCTCTATATTTCCGAGCAATATTACAGGACGCTCACTCTCGCCGCCATGGTGATACTGCGGATATGTCGCAGCACCGAACTCAACTCAGCCATCGACTATCCACTTGGGGAACAATCGTACTTCGCGGCAATTCGCATTTTCAAGAAGAGAGCCTTGAAGAATAATGACCTGAACGCTCGAATGGCGGCGACGTTGTCGCAGCTTTGGCGGAGTAAGCGCATCTTCGCACGACGTGATGGATCAATTGACAGCCTGAATGTTCGAATTCGAACTCGAGGGGTAAGTCACGATTCCAACTATCCAGTTATAACGTGTGATGACGGCCTAACTGTATGGTATCGCAGTCAATGGGAGTGGCATACGACTGTCTTTGGTGGTGGCGGCAAGAATTCTTAGGACAATCCAACCCGTACTCGGAAGAGAGCAATGGTAATCAGGCCCAAGCCCAAGCCCAAGCCCAAGCCCAAGCCCAAGCCCAAAGCCAGAGACCCTCGGTCGCTAATCCACAGGCTGTCACTTCCACTCACCAGCCAAGCACCACTCAACTACCGGACTTCGACACCAGCGTCTGTGGTCAATTAGGTGTGGACGACGATGCTTTTTTTTCGGAATGGAACTGGTCCACCCATGCATTTTTATCCGGCGATCTATCACACGAGTTCGGGGAGTCGGTTATAGGCATGTAACTAAGGTACAGAGTACTGGAGGCCTAGAGCTATGTACATGTATTTACCGGGGCTGGAGAACAATGTCCTGAGAAAGGCCGAAATCTGTTCTTCAAAAAACCTCCCTTCAATCTTTCAATAGCCCCCTGTATGTACAGAACGCCTGGGCAAGGGGATTCCTTGGCGCACAGAGTGAGAGTCGATCTTTTCTCTGCGATACACCCCACTGCATGAGATTATTCCTTAGTTCAGTCCCTAAGGTAGTGTTTACGAAGAACGTCTGGCCATTTCTGTTGTCCGATTTGTCGGCCAATTTCGCCGACAACTCGGCAAGCGAACCCATTTCTCGTTCGGCTAGAGAACTATTATTCGATCCAGGTCCACTTATCGAATGTTGAGACACGCGCTCCCCGGAGTCACGCCCACTTTGTTTGTGGGGGAGGAGTACGGAGTAGCTATTGCTGCTACTGTTATTCGTGTTGCGAAAAGTCGGGGGAGGGGAGTAATCTGAGAACAACAGTGCATACTCTGTCTCATTCAGCGAACTCTCAGACGACGTGCGAGCCATGTGTCCGGGGAATGTGCTGGCCTCCCATCGCCTCTTTATCCCGCCTTCTATGCACCTAGGTCGTCCATCACAAGACTTTACCCGTCCTCCACGTCCATGCTTACATATATAAATCTAGCTGTCATATGTTTACATATTTCCCCGAGGTTGTTCTGGTCTTTGACAGTAGTAGCCCTCGTTATCGTCTCTTGAGAAAGTCAACGCCCTCTATTTTGGTTTGAAGTAAATTACCTACAAACCTAGGTATCTCTTCAAAACATCGAGACAGAGCAGCCGCCGGGCTCCCCTATCATAGTCATCCATCCAGCATGATCTGCCAACCCGAAAACTCCCTCACCTTAACTCGTCTCGCAGCAAAGCGGCTGAAACAAATCTCCTCGGAACAACTGTCTGCAGAAGCCAGGGAAAAGGTGTCTCTATGCATCTTAGATTTCCTCGGAGCTTGTCAGGTTGGGCTCAGAGGTGAGCTTGGCGTGCCTTTGCTCAAGTACTCTGAGCTTCACGCTGGCACACCCGAGGCATGCGTCTTCGGGAGCAACAAGAAAGTGTCTGCTGAGACAGCCGCTTTTATACATGCCGCTCTTTCGAATAGGTGAGTGAGCCACTGCCTTCCTACTGTCTGTAGCCAGCACTTTGAACCCATGGACCCGTGAACCCATGTAGGGTCGACGGGCGGGGCGGGTTGAGAGTATATAAAAACTGACGAACATGGACACAAAAGCACAGTTCGCGATGACATGCACCTTGATTCATGCGCACATATGGGCTCCATGGTCATTGCTTCCAGTTTAGCCATTGCCCAACGAGACGGATGGACCGGCGAACAACTCATCCGGGCCATCGTGGGCGGGTACGAGATGGGAGCGGTCTTGGGATATTCGATTCGAGGAGGAGGGCAATTCAATACTCATTTCCGCAGCACCGCTCTGATCGGCTCGTTTGCGGCTGCGGGGGCCCTCTGCGCAGGTAACATCCCCGAAGATGAGGACACCGTCATGCGAATCTTGTGCTTTGCAATTAACATGGCTTGCGGGATCAATGCATGGGCACACACGGGAGGCAGGGAAATTTATATCCACAACGGGTCTGCCAGTGCCGCCGCCATCACCAGCTACGACCTCGGTCGCACTGGGATCTTCGTCAGCGATGCCGTCCTCGAAGGCAAGGACGGCTACTTCGAAGCCCTGGGAGTCGACTCAAATGGGCCCGGCCGCTTCAAATCCTGGATCGAAACCTCCTCGCTAGGTAGAGGGATAGCTGAGACTCATTTCAAGCCCGCATCCTGCTGCAACTTCACGCAGGCATCCACCGCCATTGCGTTGAAGATGCACAAAGATTTCCGTGCCAAGATCGCTAATGTCGAAGACATTGTCGAGATTCACATCACTACGACCCCAGGCGCCCTGGCCTACCCGGGCTGCGACAACGCCGGCCCCCTGGTCAGCGCATCCAGCGGAAAACTAAGCATCCAATTCGGAATCGGCGCGGCCCTCGCCTTCGGCCGCTTCGACGACGACACGTCCAGCCGCATCGACGACCCACTGGTCAATGGCCTCATGCGCAAGATGTCTGTGACCACAGACGTGGAGTTCGAAAAGAGCTACGCTAGGGGCCTGCAACCGGCCAAGATCGAGATCTTCTTCAAGGATGGCACTGAGATCGTTGAAGAGGTGTCAGATGTCCCCTGGCTGGACGGGCCGGCGGTCACGGAGAGGTTCATGCTAGAGATTTCTCGTTGGTTGTCGGCGGAGATGGCGCAGAAATTGGTCCAGCGGTGTCGGCAGTTGGAGACGGCCACCGACGCTGGACGTGTGTTGCTTGTCTTTTGAACCAAGGTGTCTTGTCTCGCTAACAAAGGCTTTGCCCGAAAAAAAAAATGGTAGACACTCACTGCTTTACCATTGGGATGGCCCTATAGTTTGAGAGGTAGTCGAACGAAAACCCGGGGGCTTGCCAGAGAGACGCTTCGTGATTGTGCGTCTCTTACGTCTAGTAGAAGCAAGGTGCTCACTTTTAGATTAATTAGTTAGTTGATGCCTGCCATCAATACATCCCCTTTTCATATTCCTGATGGAAGATAGAAATTCTGAATACCATGGCCTCTTTCTCATCGACCTCGGATAAGGGCTACGTGTTGACAACATATGGATGAACTACTCAGACCTCAAGATGTTTTTGTTGCTCATACTGTATACAGTTGTGTATGATAACTCTTGACTGTTGCAAATGGCAACACAAGGAGCGACGGTAAACATTGAACAGCAGATACAGATAGATATAGATCTTTTGGAGCAATTATTTTGCAAATGAACTAAGAGCAAACTAGATAATAGTATCAGCAATTTCAATTATATCAGTATACCGGAGTTTCTTCCATATCCCGGCTATTTTCTCCTCTTGATCACTTGAACCATGTCGTAGTGACCGTCCCGATCTTTTGGACACTTGTTTTCCCTTCGCCAGCATTCGCCGCGACATGTTTTTGCAGATTCGCCTTGATGCGATTGTGCACCCATTCACTGCTCGTCGGGGCATCGGCGTCCTTGAACCACTTCTTCACTCCATGCCGTCGTAAGAGAAGGCTCTCTTCGAGAAGCGTGTTGATGACCACCTCGTCATTCGGCACGACGAAGTAGAAGACGCTACTGCGATCATGGTTCCTCTGATCGGCTGGTGGTTCGACGACCCGATGAACCGCGGCTTTGTAGTAGTTGCCCGTCCACCACATCATCGGTTCGCCCGCATTGACAATGATCGCTCCAGGGATATGGGGAACGAACTTCCACTGTGCTTCGTCATGGTAGTCCCGGACTTGCAGGGTCGCCATGGGTTGGCTGAAGAGCAGCGAGAGGGAAGTCAAGTCCTGGTGGCCGCTCAGCCACAACTGTTTCCCGTCCGCGCCTCCCTGGGCGGGAAGGTCGTAGTACTCCATCCAGCGGAACCAGGATTCGTCGTGCTTGTCGTAGCTGTGCGCTTTGACGAAGAATTCCTCGTCTCTGATCTCGAGAGAGATGGCAAACAGTCTCAGGATCTTGCCCAGGATGTCTTTGTGGACAGTGGCGATGAATTCCTGTACCTCTTCACGATATGGCTCGAAAGCCTTCGGTTGCTCGTGAGTCGTCATGTCTCTGACCACGTTGAATTGCTCGATCCGGTCTGGGGTGCCGCCCAGTGTCTTCCACTCTCCACGGGGTTTGAACCCAGGATACTCCCCTTTTCCCTTCAGATCAGCCTTCAGCCTTTCCTTTTCCTCTTGGGGTGTACGTGACAAGATGGTGTGGCCGATATCGACCATACGCTCTATATTTTCTTCACTGATGCCGTGGTTGATGATCACGAAGAAACCGTGCGAGGTCATAGCCTGGTGAACCTGTTCCGCGAGCGCATTTTTGGCCGCAGAAGTGTCATTGTAAAGAGAAAAGTCCAAAATATCCAGGTCGGCATAGTCGAGCTTCTCTTTCGTGGGCTCGACGGGGACAAAATGGTCCACTTCTGGCAATGTTTTTGAGATCATCTTTGTCGGTTTGATTGGATGCTATTCGTGAACTGATGATCGCTTTTTCAAATTTTGATTACCTGACGCAAACGTATCAATATAACGATGCTACTTTATAATCCTCTGGAAAAAGAGGTTTCACTCGTCAAGCTTCGTGCCTCGAAGGCAGCGGCATCTCGTACCCGCACATCTCCCGGCGCCTGCCATGACATCTGGCATAGCCGACAACTCGCAGGCCCGTTACATTGTAGGGTGTATCAAGATTCACTCTGGAAAGGGGAACCCATGGTGTGGCAATTTACACTTGCCGAAAACTCGGCCAAATCTCGCCTCAATAGTCATGGGATCAGTCACTGAACAAGAGATGGGAAATAGTCTGCATGGCCTGTGGATTGTAGGATCACCCATTGGCCATAGTAAAGCCCGATTTCCAGAAATGAGAAGTATGTCTGAAAGGGTGGCGCCTTGCCTTGTTTGTTCACCGCCTCACAGCGTCACGATACATACAATGATACGTACAATACAGAGACAATTCAGTGTCATTGAGAAATATGGCTCTACACAGTTCCAGTGTATCGTGAGGCTCTCTGTACCATGTATCAATCACTCAGTCCTGGTATCTTGGTCCCTTCCAGAAAGTCTCCCGTTGCTTCCACTTTCACCTTCTCGGATGGAATAACGACTGTCATAAAGCGACAGTACTCGGTGGAGTTATTTAGCCATGCGTGATATGTTCCCCTGAGACGTTTTAATACAGCAATGTTAGCAATGTTAGCATCAGCTCTTGCTCCACGTTCAGCTGAGCAAGAGCAGAATTGACCAGGGCAACCCACTTTTGAATGTACACGTCTCCCTCTCTCAAAGTCTCGATAAGTCCATCGTCCAAGAGTAGCTGCAGGGATCCCTTTATCACCACACCGTAATCAAGGCTCTCGTTACGGTGTAAATATGGTGTTGCGCCTCTTGGGGTTGGAGGAATATCCACGATCTGACAAACAATTCCTTTCTCCCCTTGACCCCGACGTACGTTTTCCACTGCGAGTTCTTCCTTGCCACCTTGTATCTTCACCGGGTAGTTTCGAGTGCGATGAATCAGTGTCACGCCAACCGGCTTGTCTGTCGACGTCCCCAGCCTGCTGCCTTTGGCAGTTGGATTGACGGGCGTGAGTAACTCATCAAACTCAAAAATCGCCTTTCCTTCGCGATCATGGCCCGTGACGAGCCTTCTTGTGTTAGGAAGATGGCTTAACTGTTCCATCTTTATGCTCTTGAAAACAGTAGTGGAAATGTTGTCGAAAATATTGATCAACTTTCCCAATTCCTAAGAAGCTTCCAAAGACCTTTTGCACGCTGGTAGCTTCCCACTTCAGATCCTGGGCCCGCTTGTGACACTGCAAGCTCGTGGCTATGAAAGTTATTACTTTTGAAAGATGACTCCCCGTTTTGATGAGCTAGATGTCTCCAACAGACGAAAGAAAACTCTCTGGAGACAAGCTGCGCCGAGTTCTCGGCCTTTAACCCCGTAAACGACCAAATTGCCGATCTCCATCAAACCCCCACGCACTGTCGGGGAGAGAAGAAAGAGCTAAAAGACCAACGAGGTGAGTGCGATGTCTCAAGAGTTATGTAACCACCTCTCCAGACCAGATCTGTTGGATGCTTGTATTTTCATCATCAAAATCTGTGAACGCACCGGGGCGAAACACTAGGGCGCGAGTCTCTGTACCTATACCATAAATCCGAGCAACGGTTTCGATAATAATGGGTTCCGCTACTGAGTCTCAAGGAAAGCCGGCAGCTGCTAGGCTACGACAGCTCCTTCGGGAGGGGGGCAAGACAAGATTTTGTCCAGGGGTTTACGACGGCATCACAGCGCGACTAGCATTGAGAGAGGGCTTCGATTGTCTCTATATGACCGGGGCTGGAACAGCAGCCTCCAGACTGGGCGAGCCAGATCTTGGTCTCGCTACAATGAACGACATGGTGGCGAATGCCGGAATGATCTCTTCGCTAGACCGTTCAGTCCCTGTCATTGCAGATGCTGACACAGGTTACGGTGGCCCACTGATGGTTGCCAGGACGGTGAGAGCCTATATCTCTGCCGGCGTGGCTGGCATGCACCTTGAAGACCAGGTCCAGAACAAGCGCTGTGGTCATCTGGCAAACAAGGAACTAGTCGATGAAGAAACGTACCTGACTCGCATCCGGGCGGCGGTAATGGCTCGAGAAGAGATGCGGAGCGTGTCTGGAGGCGCAGCAGACATTGTTATCATCGCACGCACCGACTCTATCCAGTCGCTGGGGTATGAAGCGGCTGTCTCACGACTCCGGAATGCTATTTTGGCGGGTGCGGATGTGGCTTTTCCTGAGGGTATGACGAGTTTGGAACAATGCAGCCGTGTTTGCAAAGATCTGGCTCCTACTCCTGTCCTTCTGAACATGGTGGCCGGGGGTGTCACGCCCGACCTCAGTGTGCCAGAAGCAAATAAGATGGGTTTCAGAATCGTGATTTTTCCCTCGGTAGCGTTGGACCCTGTATCGGAAATGGTTGGAAATGCGATGAGGGAACTGAAGAAGAAGCAACTCCCGATTGTGAGTGACAATCGGAGGCAAGCAGGTGTGAAGTATCTGTTTAACATTCTCGGCCTGGAGGAGCGCATCGCGTTTGATGCGGCGGCGGGAGGTAAATCCTTCGCCAACGGGGCTTGAAAGGACGGACAACGGTGGTATCGCAAAGAATGAAATCATTTCTTTTATACTTCTATTTCTTCCTCTATTGATTGGACTATCTACTACCCCCTTTTTCCTGTGATACACGTATACTAGAGCAACATTAAGGTATACGCTGTTGTGCCCTTTGATTTACAGCCAGGTGGCTATCTGCTCCTTGAACTTGGAGACCCATGTTGAGGGGCCTCAAAGGATTGACTGTGTATTTAGGAGGTCTCCAACAGAACGAACATCCATTAGATTGAGGCCATCATCGCGATTATATCCAGTACCTGAAAACCCATTGACACTCGCGTCGTAAATAGCTGATCAAAGATTTTAAGGTAGAGATTCAATTGAGTCGTGTCTCAGGATCGGCCTATTGGTCAAGTTTGCTGTACCTGGATGACAATCTTGCCCCAGAATTGCTGCTTTTCCATCTCTCTGTAGGCTTCTGGAACCTCTTCAAACTTGAATATCCGATCCGAGACAATGGGTTTAATGGTATGCTCTTCAAGAAACGCCATCATGTCTTGGAACATCCTCCGCGGACCAACATTCATACCTCTGATAATACAAAGTTGCCGCTGGATCAAAGAGAAGCTGGGTACGCCTTCATTTTCTCCCTTTCCGCCGAGAAATCCCACCATGGACACAACTCCTTCCGGTCTGATGGCGTTCAAGCTCTGAGATATTGTATTTTCGCCACCAACCTCGATAATATGGTGCACACCAAGACCGTCTGAAGTCAGCGATTTGGCAATTTCCCCCCATCCAGTATTAGACCTGTAGTTGATGACATGCCGAACACCCAGTGCCTTGAGCTTCTCTGCCTTCTCGGCCGTCGAAGTTGTGCTGATTACATTTGCTCCAATGGCCAATGCGAACTGAATAGCGTATAAGGAAACCCCGCCGGTTCCTTGCGTCAGTAAGAACTCCCCCGGTCGGAGCGCTCTCGATTCGAGACCGAATAAACAATTCCAAGCGGTCAGAGCAGCGCAGGGCAATGTAGCTCCCTCGATGTAAGAGAGGCTTTTGGGCAACAACACAAGTCCGGCCTCTTCGAATATTCCATGCTGTCGTAGAACACCGTCCCGCTGACTTCCCAAGGTGCTCTGGCGGATCTCAGGTGTCACAATGCCGTCCTGGAAGTCTTGCATGAACGTCATGCACACCTTATCTCCCGGTTTGAACTCGCTCACTCCGGAACCTACGCCGACAACCTCTCCCGCGCCGTCGGAACAGGCCACGAAACCTTTTGTCAACGGTAATGGATATCGACCCAGAGCCATGGCGATGTCGCGATAATTCAGCGAGACTGCCTCGATGCGAACAAGACATTGGCCCTCCTCAAGACTAGGTAGTGGGACTTTCTCTTCGAATTGAAGAGCGTCGATGCCCTTGTTTGGGACAATCACCCATTGGGCGGTGTGGCTGACAGTCATGTTGACTCCTGAGCAAGGCGAATATAAAGCACGCGCCCCGAGTAATGAAGTAAGTAATGGCGCCACGCCTTATTTCAAAGCTACTAGAAAGCGGTTTATGAATGAAATGAGTGGTCCGCTCTTTGGATGGTAATTCACAATGGTTTCAGAGACCAATCTGGTTGTAATTGACACCTTTTGGAAATTTGGGAATTATCTTAGACTGTTCAGCAACTGTCCTCGCCTAAAGTGACCACTACAGCCTTCCATCTTGGACCGCAACTGGTCTCGAAAAGTTTGACCTGGAAGTAAAACAGCATTCAGTGTGGCCGAAAAGTCGGCGATTCAAGGTGCTAGCAGGCAACCCGCCGACTCGTAGCTTCCTATAGGGCGGAGATGTCACATAGATCCTCCAGCTAACCGATCAAAAGACTTTATTTCCGCCGCAAAGAGGGAGGAATAGTGGGTCAGTTTTGACCTACGACCAGGAAAAAGCCAGTGAAAATGCTCCATGCATGAGAAAAAGTGGAACGTTGAGTCTGGAAATATCTAAATATTGAGCTCCGAGGGAAAGAGTTCCAGGCCGGACTAGATTCTGGGACCGTCCGTCATGTTCTCGGAGGGGAGAGCACCGATAAGATGATGTTTAGGTCTAACAGATATGACCGTGAGTCCAGGCGGCAGCGCGGTGTCTGCGGGCGTTTCTGTCCCCAAAGCTTCTGAGTTCTTCTCTTGGGGCCAGACTATCGACAGCCGATACCGATTTCTCGGCTGCGGGGGGGATTCGTGTGAGCTGCGCCGGTGATTATAGTGGAGTCTGGTTGAGGGCCCATCTCCAATGTTCCCGTCTCCTTACTTCGCGAAGCCTCGTGTTCTCAGAAAGAAATAACGAGCTGGCATAGCACTACGAGTTTTACTATATAACTTCCCCAGATTTGGTCCCTCAGTTTCTCGCCCACCTTCTCCTGGCCAAAAGCAAGCCGAACCACGAACTTGTGATCCGTCCCTTTCTCCTTGCCAACCATGTCTTCCGACGAGAAACCAATGTCTGAACTCCCCATACACATCGAAAAGGGAGCAAAGCTAGAACCCGACTCCGTCGAGGTGACGGATCAGGGAAATCTTGCAATTGAAAAGGCCTTGAATCGGAAGTATGATTTCCGTATTCTACCATGCCTGTTCTTGCTCTACTTTTTCTCCTTTATGGACAGAGCCAGTATCGGGAATGCGAGCATTGCCGGCTTAAATGTCGACCTCAAACTCCGAGGCCAGAGCTACAGCGTGGCTCTGGCTCTGTTTTTCGTCTGTTACATGATCGTCGACATCCCCGCCGGATTGTTATTCAAAATCATCGGACCTCGGGCCTTTCTCTGCATCAGCATCTTCTGTTTCGGCACCTGCACCATCTGCCTCGGATTTGTCAAGAACGCGAGCCAACTGTACGCGATTCGGTGCCTGCTCGGTCTCTTCGAGGGTGGCTTGACACCGTGCATCAGCATCTACATGGGCATGTTCTACTCGCCCACCAATATACAACGACGTCTGGCTTTCTACTACTGTGCCGCACCTCTCAGTGGCGCAGTCGGTGGTCTCCTCGCGTCTGGTCTCGGAAAGATCAACGTTGGATCATACAGAGCCTGGCCCTGGATCTTCTTCGTCGAGGGAACAATCTCCATCCTCGTAGGAGCCCTCTGCTTTTTCATCCTCCCAAACATGCCCGGCCAATCGCGATTTTTGACAGAAGAGGAACGCGAAGTGGCGAGAGTCAGGTCGGGAAAAATCAGCAACACGGTCGACGTCAATCATGAAAAAGAGAAGTTCTCCTGGAAAGCTGTCAAGCAAGGCTTTCAGGATTGGAACGCCGTCCTTCTTGCCATCATCAGCGTCGGAACCTACTGCAACGTCTACGCTTACAGCCTCTTTTCCCCTGCCATCATTAAGGGTTTTGGCTACAGCACGATTCGATCTCAGCTCCTGAGCGTACCCCCATACGTCTTTGGGGCCATTTGCGTCTTCGCTACATCGTTCGCGTCGGATCACCTCCGCGTCCGAGGTCCTTTTGTGATGGGACCCTGTTGCGTTGAGGTCATCGGCTGGATCATTCAGATGACATGCAACGGTGTCGGGGTGAGATACTTTGGCCTTTTCTTGATCGCCGGTTCCATATACCCTGCCATCAACTCGACCAGCTCATGGCTGATTGGTAATCTGCAACCACACTATGTTCGCGCGACCGGGATCTCCTTTGCCGTGGCCATGGGGACAATCGGTGGGATTATTTCTACTTTCACTTACGCGAACGCGAAGGGCGACGTCGCGAACGGGGTGGAATTGGCCATGGCCGTCCTAGTAATTGCCCTGACGGGTCTGCTGATGTGGATAAACCGTGCAGAAAACAAGTTGAGAGCTCGCGGCGGACGAGACTATCGGCTCAATCAGGGGCAGAGTGCAGAACAGCTGGGATCACGCCATCCAGCTTATGTTCTCTCTCTGTGATGGGTCGTCGTCAGACCAGAATCAATCAGAACAGTCACCGCGAACTTGTCTGATTTGTCTGGACAATCTACATCCAGGCCAGCTGACCCGAGGGTGATTGGCGAACTATACCTAAGTCCAAGACAGCCTGAACAAGCACCTTGAAGGTCCTGCGGGGCTTTTATATGAATTTCTGTCGTGCAACGCTCACACAATGGGAGTTAAATGGGATGTATTGACGAGTCTGCCCTCGATGTCTAGGAGGTCGAGGACTATGATATATATAGGCAAAAGGAGCGACTATTCTCTGCCCGATTGAGGCTTCCTTCGTTGCCGCATCACAGGCCGCAAGTTGGCCTTTCCTGACGCATCTTGAGTGATTGCAACAAGCGCTCCGATGATTGGCAATAGAACGGCCTATATATTGCTGTCAACATGATATAGTTCAATGAGTGAAGTGATAGTTGCAAAGTGCGCAATAATGAGCGTTCCAGGCGGCGGGGTTCCTCCAGAGACATTCGGCGCGAGTATGGAGGTTGTAATGACACCGTCATAACTTAGCCTGTTCAACACACCCCCTCAGGAAATGATGCCGTTGTCGTTGGTGTGGAAACATCAGGATAGTATTTTCTGGATGTCAGTGAGGTTAAGTTACTTAATGAAAGCCTCATGTTTTTGCCTAGGCAAGGCTTTTGTAAGGTCGTCGACAATTATGTCGTTTATCGGTGTCTAATCGAGACTAATTTTTCCTTGTTATACCTCTTGTCGGAGCTAATATCGATGAATATTAATATAATAAAGCTAAGTAAATAGCTTTTCATTCTTGATTAGTAGTTAAATAGTCTGTAGATTGTTAGAGAGAAGTGATAAAGTCTTTTTTAGGTCTAAGTTAATGTTAGTGAATATTCTTTTTCACTAGATTATTTCGCTTATTGTGTTAGAGAGAGTAAGAAGTTTAGTCTCGATAAAGAATATTATAATTATCTTTTATTTTCTTGATCTTCAGTTAATAGGCCCTTTAAATAGTGTTAAGATATAGTTATTAAAGCTCTTCCTTATCTTAAGATCGTTAGTGAAGAAGGCGTTTAATGCGTAGAGAAAGTATTAATTAAATTGATTATTATATATAAGAAAGAAGTATTTTATATAGTAGAGATATATAATCACTCTATTTGTGGCCTTAATATATATACTTAATGAGTTAACTAGAAACTATACTAGTTTAAAGTAAATATAGACGATATTTAGTTTAGTTATATATAAGATAAATAAGATAGATTTAATATATTATTAATATATATAAATCTTTTATGAGAAGGTCTATTCTTTATAAGGTTATAATTCACTAGTTAATAGTGAAGTATTAAATAAATAATTAAGTTATTAAATATAGAACTTGGCTGCGATTTTATTAATATATAAGTTAAGCGATAGATAAATAGTTTTATTATTACGGTCTCATAAAATATAAATACTATAAAACTAATTAGCGTTATTAAGAACGCGAAACTTAAATTGTTTATCTAGTTAGTATATTAGAGAGTGAAATATATTTATTTTACTTTTATAGTAAAGAATTATGATATTATTTATATAAAAGAAGATTAGAATTTATTCGCCTTAAAAGAGATAGTTAATATTAAGTATCTTTATAAGTTTTAGGTTCTTAAGCGTTATAGTGAAGGTAATATATCATAATAATGAAGATTTCTTTAAACTATAGAGCGCTTTTAAGAGGTATAGAATCTTGCTTAGCTTAGAATAATCTATAGAATACTTAATATAGACCTTCTTTTTTATGGGTGAGTTAAGAAAGGCGTTAACAGTGTTAGTCTACTAGATTTCGAGATTAAAGAACACTATAATAACTATAAGTATATAAAAGGTCTTGAGTGTAAATGTTACTATATATATATTGTTCTAAGAATATTATAAGTCGCCTCGAGCGTAAATACACACTTTATATTTAGCAAGAAAGTTATTATTATTAAATTTATATATAAATATCTATATAAGAGAAATAACTTACTTTTTCTAGATATATTAGCGCTTTATTTTCTTAACTATTTTACTTTAAAGGACTTAGCTTTATTTAATGTTTATAGCTACCTCGAATTAACGCTTATATAAGTGTATTAATATTTAATAATAAGTCTATAGCGCGAGAGAAAGATTATCTTTATAAATCTTTCGCTATTTATTTAGCGCCTTGTTGAATACTATATAAAAGAAGTAAAGATTATAAGGATTGCTTACTAGTTATATAGTATAGTTTTAATAACGCCTAAATAGCTATTGTCGCTGTCGCTTATGAGGTAAAAAAATATTGTTTTTATCTAAGTTAGTTAATATTTTACTAGAATATAGAGATATAGTGAGAGCATTATCACATGAGTTGCTTAATTAGGTAGTAGTTATCGAATCTGGAGTAGTTATCGAAAATGGTGTAACCTAATTAGCGAGGTCTAACGATGCCTTCTATATTGTAGAGAGTTATGAAATAGTGCTAGGCTAAGGGCTATATTTAATTCTAGATTATTAAATACTAGATATATTAGACGCTATACTAGTCTCGAGTGTTATGTGTGGCGTAGATAAGACAATTTTTATCCCCTCAATTTAAATTCTATTTTTCTTAATATATAAGAATAATAATAAATCGCGTGAGATAAGAATAGTGTCTAGATTATTAAGATCTATAAGAGAATCTTAATTAGAAGATAATTTATTAATATCGCTATCGAGAATAAGGGCCTCAAGATTTAATACTTTAATAAGTTTCTAAGGAAGGGTATAGAGTTACTTCGCGATTTATATCTTAATAAGATTATAAAATATATTATTGTGAAATATAATATCTCTAGAATAAAGAATCCTTTATTTTATAGATATTTAAACACGCTAAATATTCTTTATATTATAGCTAACTAGTTAGCTAACTATTGTCTTATTCTTTAGCTTTTCGAGTTTAGAGACTTACTTATTATGAATGAACACCTTATATCTAATTAAGTGAAGATATATAAGGGTTAGCTTTCTTTTATAAAGTGCCTTATAAAGAGTCTTCTATTCTAGTGATTTAGATAGTATTTAATTAATAATCTGTGTCGCGGTGCAGGGGACTCGCTCTGGCGCCGATGCGGTTTGGCGCCGCTTTGACGGTCCCGATCGGGTTTGGCGCTCGCCCGTTCGGGCAAGGCGCCGCCGATTGGGGTTTAGTGCTGACCGCGAGGGCCTCTCGCCGCTTTGCCGCCGACCTCCATCGACCCTGTCGCTATAAAAGAACGTCGTCCCTCGCCGTTTTGTCGAGGCCTCCTCCTCGTCAATCCTCGTGCCGTCTCTTCGTCACCCTCCATCGTCCCGGAAGAGGAAAGCGTCAAGTCACCCGGCAACAACCAGGATCTTGCGATGTCCGCGCCGCGCTACTATCGCCGTCGTCGAAGCGGACCCTGAGCCACTCAACTCTGCCACTCGGTGACCCGCGACCGTCGGAGCGCCCTTGTGCTTCGGAACGAGAAGGATGGGCACGTCTGTCCAGCTCGAGTCCACGTCTGTCTTGGATCTTACTGGCTACTCCGGCGGCAACACCCCTGGGTCAACGAGGTCTACGCGCACGAGCGTCGTCTTACGTCTCTCCACTGTTCAGCTGGTCAAGGATTTCTTGACGTTCAGACGTCTTGCACGAGGATTCGGGACGGCGCTGATTGGGGCTCTCTGCACTTGCAGCTGGAACGAGTTGGAGGGGTCTCCTCGGGCCTTCGAGGCCTGCCGAGATGGTGACTCAAATTGGGGAACGGGTGCCGTTCGGAGACTTCGAGGAGCATCGTGGTGAACACTTCTCGTTACCCTCTTCGTTCGGCGCGATCAATGATTTCATCAGGAACAATTTCTTGCCGTGAGCAGACAAAGCACTGCCATGTACGGTACCACACACGGCGCCAGTCTTTTCACGGGAGGCCGCGAAAGGATCATGCGTCCGAGTGAGGGCTGCAGAGTCCCCTCTCAACATTCCGTCCGGAGCAACCTTCTCTCCTCTGACGCTAGAAATTTGGCTTTCGAAAAGTCAGTGAGGGTTGCATTGCATCCTGCCACTAACTGCATCCGTGGCTCAGGCTGGGAATGACAGGGTTGCAACTGCGAGCCGTGATGGTGATGGCGCGTTGCGGGTTGAGACATTCTGAACTTCGTTCTCCCTCATCACGCTCTGCCGCCCTTCCGCAAACAAAGGATGTCACCCCGACCGGGCCAGGGTCTGTTTGGGCCGTCGCGGTCCCTTCGAACACTGACCACCTGATCACCCCGAAGCCTAAGGATTTCAGAGTTTGGCGGCGTCGGCCTGCTTCCATGGACGGTCTGTCGCTCGATTGGCCTTCTGTCTCGCCCCGCTCGAAACGAGGTCGTGGACTTAGAGAGTGAGGGAATGGTCTCGTCACTCCGTCTTCCAGCCGGTCAAAGGGTTACGCAATTTCTGCAGACACGGATGGACTAGGAGCTGCTCCCACTCTGGGTGGCAGGAGGACGTCGTGGGGAACCACTGTCACTCCATGCTCCACGTACATGTCTACAATTCTCACTATAGAATGTCAAGGGTACGATCCAAGCACGACGAGCATATCCGGACTTCCCGTACGGCCTCTGGCTTCGGCAACTTAAGCTGCAGCCTGTTTGGAGGCGGCCAAGTTGCGGAAGCCGCTGAGTGAAATGATCGGCGGAACAGCCCAACCAACAGCCAGAGACAATGGCAACGATAGTGATTTCCTGGACGCGTGATCGCGACTTCAGCGTCGGCGGCAGTCAGGCTCCCACGGGGCCCAGATGACCACGTCCCTTTCCGACCTAGCCATTCGTCAAGTTCTACCCACACCCCTTTTGGTGTGACAGTCAGTCCTGGCCATTTTTGGCTTTGCATGACCTGGGCTTCTCTGCTAAATGCGAAGGAAATCGCTCAGTTAGACCCATAAACATGTCACATATCAACTGCCTCAAGGGATCCGAAGACACCCACCGTGGTCGGGCTGTACAGCCACTCGGTGTGACCGTCCCACTACATGGTGAGACGCCCTTGACACGGAAGAAGACGATCAGTTGATTTCGCCCCAATCTGGGATGTGGACGCTTTTCTGTCCTGGCAGTCTGCTGTGCTACAGATCGCTTTGGCAGTGGGTGATCGGCTGGTTCGAGAGGCAGGGGTCACGTACTGTTTGGAGGTTCGGAGCAATTTGTAGCCGCCGGATCCGTGACGACCCCGACAAGGTACGCGACGCGGACACCCCTAGGATCAGCCGAGGGAGGCAGAGCCATGATCTGTGACCCTTTCAGGGATGATCCTGCAAGAGCATGATAACAAGGGGAAGAATTCAATTCTCCTCCTTGGCTGTCCGGAAAGGGTCCCCTCATTCCCGAGTAGTCGTGGGATTTGGAATATCTTCCCCGATCTGCATGTTAGCAGTACAGCTTCTTAGGGCATCCAATACTCCTGACGCCTAGCCAGTTCTCCTACCTATATCAAGCAAGCCATCCCGACCTCTCCTACGGCGGCCATATCAGCTTCGCAGTCTTCCGGTCGTTGGGTCAATAGCTCTTTACACCATATCTCTCGCAGGTTTTCGGCATGGATAGCATCATCTTCGAGGACCCTTCCAAACCTCGACTACGCCAAAAGCCACAGGTGCGTGCTGCGCCGGTCAGCTCCAGCACTTCCTTGCGCCGAGCACGCACTCCAGAAGTTGAACCGCGGGTCGTGACACCAGTTCCTGGAATTCATCAGCTGCAGGAACACTCTCACAGTAGCAATCTAGGCCATTCTGGTAAGAATGAGACGTTCTCAGACCACTCTGACCTTGCAGACAGTAAGATCACTGACAGATCACTCTAGAGCCGTCAATCTTACGAGATCAGACTTCGGAGACTCCGCTCGACGAGCTCTGTCGCAGCCCTCTGCAGCACGAAAGTCCTGGTGACGGATGGATCTTGGAAGGGACTTCATTCCATGACGATTTCTCCCTCGCGCACATCGATGATGATGGCCTGGCCGAGCGTCTTGACGACGATTTAGACAGTCTCTTTTCCGGTGTTTTGCCAGATTTAGAGTGCTTCACAACGACTGAGTCCGATCAACATTCTGACGCTCGAGCTCAGACTTACGCTTCACAGGTCGCTGGAACTAGCGACATTGTCAACTCCTCACCAAGCGACGATTTGGTCTGCTTCGAAACTCCTGGGCTGCGGGCGAACTCTGACGCGATTGACCTCGCGGCAGACTCAAACTGCCCTGAACCGAAGCTGACAGCGGCACCGTCTCCGCAGCGATGCTCTCCACCATCCTCGCGCCACAAACCCGGGATTGAGGTGGTGATCTCAACCCGTCGTCCCTCACCGGTCACGCAACAGAATCTCTCCGGTGCTCAAGGTGCAGACGATTTTGTGGAACGGAACGTGGCCAGGCGACGGACAGCATCTCCCCGCCTAAGTGGGCACGTTCAACACATCTCCGGCCAGAAACGACGATACATGAGTGAATCTGATCTCGACTCCCTAAATTCCCGTCGAGTGCGTGTGGAAGCTGACCCCAAGAACACACCGACCCTCGTCCATCACATGCTTAACGAAGGATCTACCGCGAATTCCCGTGAAAGGGAAATTCATCTTCAGGAGCCAGGCTGCAATGTTAGAGCTGGAATCCACAACCCTGTCTACGGGTCGGATAGCGAGCAGACCCTCATTGACCATGGCGCGAGCATAAACTGTGACGATCAAACTGGACGTGATATACTCCTTCGCGAGCGCTGTCCTCCTCCAACATCGCCACTAGATATTGACGAGCCCTTCAACGACCATGGGCAAGAGCAGCATCAGGATAGGTTGAAAGGCTTGAGCATCCAGCCTGTGACATCGGGTGACGCCGGCTTTGTTACCGCCATTATCGACAGTCCGGCGTACCTTCAGGACATCTTCCACTCACCTACGGATTGGGCCCTTGGACGTGGTGTGCAGTCGAACGACCTGGCCAATATCGTTCTCAAGCCACTTGCCGAGCGTTGCTGGCTCCTCACAGCCACCATATCGCGACGTGCTACCAAAGTGGACAACCTGAGACGAGACCGAGCTAGAAGGAGGGGAAGAGATTCACCCGACCTAGACACGAGTAGCGACTTCTGTCCCAGCGAAAGCGAAACGCTTTCCCGGCCGACGAAGCGAGGCCATTGGACGTTAGATGAGGATAATAATTTGACGAAATGGAGGCGCCTGGGCAAGTCATGGTCGTGGATCTTCGATCAATTCCCCGAACGATCGGAAGCTGCGGTGCGATCGCGTTGGTTCGTGGTTCTAGCACCACGATTGGGATTGGACAGCAGAACACGGACCTAGGTCAACCCAATCTAGAGATTACTTGACCATGACAGTTGTCCCGCGTTATGTCCTCATGTTATTGACATAAGCCACAGAATGTGATCCGGGCTCTAGTCTGGATACGGACGTGAATTTCCGCGCACTGTGTGGCGAAGTCAGCCATACGGTATGTCAGTGAGTATGAAAAGCCCACGCAAAGGTACACAGGAAGATTGTATAGATATTCTAGCTGACGTGAAGCCTAATCTTGTCGTTCGTTAGCTAGTTGCATCTTATCAAATGCGATTTGTTTAATTTTGCTGGGAGGTACCAAGATCGTCAAGAGGCCCCCGACCAAGAAAACTCCGGGCTTATTGACCCTCGTGCGTCGCAAAAATTGACTTGCGTGTATATCCGTCATGGACGAGGATTTCCGCCTGTATTTTTGGTTAAACTTTGGTCTTATGAAACCACCCGAAGCTCTGTGCCCGATTGGAGACATTGTGCCAACGATCGACCATGACGGCCAGTGCCTTGGGTCCTTAGGTAAGAATTTCTCGACACGGCGCAGAGGAGAGCATCGTGGCGTCGTCCAATAGCGTCGTAGCGCAAGAACGATGTCGGGAATCCTACCATCTTCGGGTTAGGCGTGTCCATTGGTCGGCGCCAGATCAAAGCACGGAAAGGGGCGAACTGGAGCTGGGAGGCAAAAAGCCCTCGCACAACATTTTTCCCCAGATTCGGCGGCCCTTCCAGGCTAGAGTTGCTTAGGTTTGTGGGCGGACGATCGGCACGCCTACGAGTAGTAGGCCTGCACAAGAGATGATCTGGGCGTACTTGCCTTCGGGTGTAGATGAATAAGCAGCCTCGTCCAGGTCCCGTGACAGCGAATCTAGCCCACTTGATTGGATGAAAATGCTACTCGACTCAGCTGCGCTCTTTCCAATGCCGACGGACCAGATGGCGTCGACCCTTCAAGAAACTCGCAGTTTGCTGATTGATGTGAGAGCTCTTGCTCTCCTCTGTGACATATGGTATCACCCGGTAAAGAGACCATAAACGTGCAGAGGCACGGACGGGCCAGTTGGCATAGTAAGAGCACTGATGACGTTAACGGCCGAGTCACTGATATTTTCCTAGACAAGCGACACGCCTCGCAGAGCGACGATGGCGAACGTCCTCACAAGGTTGGCCGCTTATCTGACCTTCAACAAGCCTCTGTGGCTTCCCTGATGGAAGACCTTACTCCTGACATCCCTCCCTCGAAGCTATACAGTCTCCTTCCGTCTCCGTCTGCCACAAAAACAGATGACGTGAGTGGATGCACGGAACGTCTCTACGGGAACAAAGATGCTGTCAAGGCGGGGCAATTACATCACAAATGGTCTCCAGCCAACTCTCCAATACCAGGACGAAAGACAAGGTCGCCGGACAGGCACACCGAGCGCCCATTCGCAACGAGAGGCCGCTCGCCCTTAAAACCGTTGGACAGCGGTGCATTTGTTGCGAAGTGGCTATCAAGCGTGCTATCTAGCGAGGAATACGATACCCAATACGACATGAGTCTGCCACCCTCGAAACGATCCCGGTCGTCAGAGTCATTAAGTCGACGACTTTCGCATCCCTATGAAGGCTCGGAATCCACAGTTTCAGCAGACAAGATATACTCGATCTCCCAATATGTGGACTACCTAGTGGCCTTGGAGACAAAAGGCAATTTTATGCGACCATCTGCCACTCGTTTCGTGAAGGAAGACCATATGTTGGACGAGAAGCTTCTCTACACGCGTCAACCGCGTCCTGATCACCGGTTATTTGATGACCGGTTCGACAAATTCCACTCCGATTCGAGGCCGATGGGAAGCTCGAGTCTATCTCGACCTGCATCCTCTCCTCGTCCGGTCGGTTGAAAACCTGTACATCAGTGGTCGGGAAGAATTTCACGGTCTGATCAAAGGCCACAGTGACCCTTGGGTCAAAGGGATTTCCTTCTATGAACCGCGACCGCAGCCGGACCGTACATACGGATTCAAATTGTCCAACTTTACCGAAGTCCAGCGCCGGAAGCTGCATGCAGTCCTAGAACGCGGCTCAGGTGATCGCTTTGGGGGGACATGCCATTTTGGAAGACAATTCCACCCACCACCGCCGAGATGGACGTCGAAACACTCAGGACGAAAGCAAACAAGCCGGTCGCCACCGCGACATCTGCAGCTCCGACAACCGAATGGTACGCTATGATCGGAGCTTGAAAGGTAGTGCCCACTCCGAGGCCAGCCACAACCTCAATCAGCAGCGTGAACGCGAGAGACGTTGACGTGCCAAGGCTGATAAAAAGACCGAACCCCAGCGTGGTCAACGCCATCCCGACCCAGATCAGTGGACGGATCCAGCCCAAACGGTAAGTGACGGCGTCCGCTGCAAGGCCAATTACCGCCTGAACCACGACCATGTGCATGATGAGAATGCCAGAACGGGTCGGAGAAACGCCACGCACGGCCTGGAAATAGACGGGGAGGAAATACCAGGATGACATGTTTACCTGTGACGGAATCAGTATGCTGCGCTGCTGTCGATTGGGAAAGTGTGAGCACGTACGAAACCGTGTACAAAGCAAACAATCAGAGGGAAGGACTTGGCCTTCAATAGGTTGAACGGCATCAGAAAAAAAATACCGCGAGCACACAGCCGCCGATCAGGAGGGCTAGGACTTTTGGCGAGTTCCACGGGGACACCAACCCTCCAAAACCGAGACCGAGCAGAACCGAGACCGTGATGCCGATGATTACCTCTCCCTTACGATGGCTCAAAAGACCTCTCACCGCTCCTCCACCTCTTGTCCTCTTGTCTGCGTCACTCTCACAGTCACAAGACTGCACCCGACCTCAACGTCGTCAAGCTGCTTGGACTCCTGAAGCCGATCCTGCGTACTGTCTGATATGGAAGAGGAGGACGACCTCGTACAGTTGGCGGAGGATGACCTGTGGATGAATGCTATCAAATTTGATCTATTCGACCTTGTCGGACTCGCCCCAACAGCACACTTGACGTGGGAACTCTACGAGAAACGGCTAAAGGAACTGTCGCGGACCCTCCACCTAGACAAGATAAGCCTGTTCTATTGCAAGAATGATAGAGTTATTCTCGGCAGACCATCATGGCGGCGACAAACCACGTCAAGTTCCTCCGAGATTACATGCCCGATCTTTCCGAAGAAGTACGACAAGTTAGCTTCACGGTAATGAAGTACTTCTGGGACCAGTACAGTGTACCAACGTGGAATGCGGCCGCATTTATTGCTCATGAAGCTGTCTCGATTACCCTCGAACTCTTCGGCCCAGAAAGCATGTCGCCGGCTGTCTGCGAGGGTTAGACGATCGCTTGTTTGAGAAGTTTCTGGACGTGAACAGAGGCAGAGATGGAAGGCCGGCGGAAAGGGTGATTACATCGAGGGTTTCGGACTATATTATGGCGGTATCAAGCGCTTGTCAGTCTGCGTCCGTAGATAGATGTGAAGATATATATAGCACCATCAGAACCAGGAAGGCTGTCAAAGTTGAAGGCGCTGGAGATATTAATCGAGCCGGTGAAGTGACGGCTGAGGTGGTCAATAGTCTGGGAGCTCTAGCGTGCATCAGGTCACGTTCAAGTCGATAGATGCGGTGACTGAGAGACACGATGTCATCCCCAACCTGCGCGTGCGAGAGGATGGAGTTCGTACGAGTGCAGCCACCTTGAGTACTTCAAACAGCCTCACGTGACATGACTCGTGCTTCGGCGAACCGTGCCCAGCTTAGGTTGAATTAAGTGTGCCTCGTGTCACAGCTTACCAAGGAGATCATTGTGAGTCAATTGCCTATCAACTAGACGAGGGATATGCGAGGAGTTCTGCGAGGGACCATGCAAGGAAGAGAAGCTCCTCAACAAGGAGAAGAATTGTCGCTCTTCTTGCTATATAATAGGTAGAACAAGATCTCGGCCAGACTTGACAATTCATCCTATTTAGCCCCCTTTTAGTGCAAGCCACTCAACATAACAGTACTCCGTACTCCATACTATCCTCCACACATACACGCCACCAACAAATTTCTGCGTCCCAGATGACATGGATTCTTGCTGCTCACCTATATCTCCGCAAGAAATACACCGAGTGATCAAGGCTCCTGTTATATTCTACAAAAAATTATACATGTGACCCGGTCTATCAAGTCCAACGGCCGTGAAATAAATTGGTCAATCAAACTTGATTTATTGGCAGGTCAGTCCACTTCTGTCTAAGCGCACCACGATGTCTCCAGATCAGACAGCGCAGAAATCGGTCGGCTTCCTGGACCTTCCGACCGAGGTCCGCCATAAGGTCTACAAGGATCTGTTCTGTCACCGAGCGTTGCCTATCCCTCTGGGCTCAGGGAGCCTTGCGCCCCTGCAGCTACAGCATAAGATTGACTTGGACGAGCCAGTATTCCACACGGCGCTTTTCAGAGTGAACAAGGACATCTCGACCGATGCAATCCGTTTCGCGTATAGTGTCAATAGCTTCCAGCTGCCCTCTGACCTGACTAGCTTCTGCCGTCTGGGTAGCACTGCACTGGCCTCGATCCGATCTCTCACAGTCTACAACAACTGTTGGCTCGCCGGCAGAGAATCCCAAGCAGTCTGGGACATTATCAACCACAGATGCTCGAGTCTAGAACTGCTTGTGGTTCAGCCCTCAACACATTTGCTGTGGCAAGCTATTCCCCAGCTGAAGAAATACGTCGCTGAGTTCGACTGGGCCAAGGCGTCGCGACCAAGGCTCGTCTTCCATTTGTACGTCTTTGACCGTCACTTTTCGTTCGACCTCCCCGAGCGCGAGTATCAGAGAGCCTTACAGGAGTTAAAGGGTGCCGAGGGCGACCATGATGGCTGGTATGGATTTCTGAAACCTGGAGAGATGGTTTCGCTTTTGCCGAGGCACGTGAAGCAGATCAATTGCGTGCTTGACGTCAGTGCAGGAGGCATTCATGCTCTAGACGAGGTCATTCGAGATTCTTCAGACCTTCCTCTGATCAAAATGACGCTGCCTGCATCCACAAAAACCTTTCGACACGGGTCTCGAGACCAGCTCTGTTACGTCTGGGGCGAACGAAATGAAGTCTAACTATACGGCCAGCAACTTCCGGAGCCATTGTTCTTGATCCAGAGGCATGCGAGCATGAGACTTCTTGGTCATTATCGGTGTTGAATGTGGCAATGTGCAGAGGTAAAGGACTCTTCAAAGCATCGTCCGGTTGGAAGTAGAATCTTCGGACAATAGGCTCAGGCGCTCTTTTACACTTGATCCTTAATGACATTTTAGACTACGAAAGTGGAAACGCAGCCGAACGCCTCCTGAGCAAGCCAGCCTAGGGGAACCGTGACGGCACCGAGCGCGGGCGACCTCACCAGTCATGTTTTGTTTTGTGCTAGGTTTTCTTTGTTGGAAATGAACACGCCGAACACATCAAAGCTGATGACGCTCACACCAAACAGATAGAATCGTACCGAAAGACGTGTGACGGCGTTTGAAGCGACAGAAGCAGGCGCCGAGATCAAGACCCAAACATACGTCCCGAGTCCCCAGCAACATAACCACATTACCATCCCGTTAGGAATTCGCTTCGAGGGGTCAAAATCCTTGACGAGTTCGACCTTTGAGTCAACCTTTTGAACTCCAGTACGAGGTGATAATGTTGTTGATGCGAAGACTAGATGTTCAGCCATGTTTACCTCTCTTCACGAAGGAGAAGACATCTGTCTACTGCGTTGGACACACCACACAGAGTTTCACGTCATATCAACAGGCCACAGAGAACCCACGGCGCAGCAACCCATTAGAGCCTGATCCAGACCAGGCTTTCAGCCAGCGCACCCACCGCAGGACCACAGGGACAGTCCAGACCGAGTTATTGATCATTGATCACGGTCTGCTTTGACGTCGGTCGCGTTACTGCAGGTGGTCGGCATGACAGACTTTGATCTAAAACGAGTCAAAGGGGTTCTCGAAGCAGATACTTGAGGGAATCTATTTCGCATTACTATTGCAAAGTTTCGTGGAAAGTAGAGTTAGGCAGCCAAGGAAATTTATGCGCTGCTTGCAGAGGGTAGGCAGCTGAGATAATCAAACTGGAAAAATACCATCCCAGTCAAAACCTTCCATGCCATCTATCTGATTGAGGAAATCGTCCAGAGTTACCTCAGAAAATATTGGTGTCGGCATCGGCATCGGCATCGGCGAGGTTGTGTGACTTGGCTCCGAAAAATAGTCTGGAAGACTTCTAGCTGTGACCGGGGCATTTATATCGCTCAAGGGCAATCGGCTTGGGTTTTGCAACGTCACCTGTGCTGTTCTCTCTGTCGAAGAACTCGAGGAGTCTAATACTGGAGTATCTAGAGTTGACTTTCTCAGCAGGTCAATCAACTTGTCAATTCCAAACACAATGCCGCTACTGGATCTGTTCGATGACATTTCCTTGTCTCTCAAGGTCTTACTGATCTCGATCAGCTCTGCTTTTCGAGGTTGAGCGCGAAACATATCGGTCTCGAGCATACTGTCCATCGACAGAAGTAACAGTGCGCCAAAGGTGTGCTGACGGATACTGTACGAGTTTACGCAGTGACAAATTCCTGAGAGGTCGATACTGTTGCGAAGCTTCAAGATCTTCTCCGCGTACTGGAGGCATACTGTTCGAGATTCAGAAAACTCGGGCTCTCGCAGCTTCATCGAGAGGAATGGTCGATGCAGTCGGACGATTCGTGAATATATTCCGAACAACAAGAAATGTTTCTGCGGTACCAGGTATGGGCGATTGAGTGCTAGCGCATTGGCCTTATCCTTGTTTTCTTCGTCCATACGGAAGAACCACGGCAGATCTTCCTCGAAGCGTCTCAATCGATGGCTGAATTCATAGGTAAGATTGCAGGGCTGGGACTCCTCTGTTATTCCAGCATTTTGTATTGAATCTGCGAGTTGGCGGCAGAGCTCGGCAAACTTGGCTCGCTGAATCAAGAACGATGTTGAGGTTGGCTGATCTTCTGGAAGGTTCACTGGCGGGTGTGAATTTGATAAGACTCTATCGTCGAGATTGGCGGGGTATGTGACTCGGGCATGTGCTGGATTCACAGAGTACATGCCCTCTTGGTTACCAGGAATACTGGCGGTAATCCTAGCGTGGGTGAGAACATGATCAAAAAATGCAATGACCCGACAAAGCAGAGTGCTCACCAATCTGAAGCTGCTAGATGCCACCAAAGTCTCCGTTTTAATTCCGATTCAATAACATTCCCGTCTTTACCACCGGCACCAGCATCTAATCTGTGAATTCCCATGGATATTGCTTTCTGGTACGCAATACTCTTGAGAGCATAGAACTCTGCCGATTGACCCTCGGAGTTCCATTCAAGAAGAAGCATGATAGATACCGACTGAAGAGACAATAGAGAGGTAGAAACCATTACTCTTCTATCATATATTAGGTCGCTTGCGGTCATCTTCCATACAGCGGACCACTGCGAGCTGTCGGTGAGGCCCTTTGGTGCTAGGTGGCAGTGCGCATGACATATATGGAACGAGCTGGATGCGAAAATACAAAACAAGAAGGTAAGCACTTCTCTCGAGACTTCAAGAGATTTGGCCAGCAGCGAATAGCTTTCTTCTAGGAGTATGCTAGCAGAAGGGACGTGAAGCTCACGATGCATGCAGTCAACTACCTGGACATAGTGCTCGAAAAGCAATCGTGCAGTGTACACGGTCGGGAGTTGACGGACCAAGTCGCTGGCATTGCAGCCGGAGTTTAAATGGGTATTTGAGCCACATCCAAGTTTGACTGTGCTAGCTGCGGGATCTGGCGAAGGAATTCCGACATTATACTGCGAGGCGATTTTGCTCTTGTCCAAGTTCGTTGCCTGGCGAGGTGTTGAACTTGCCACAGTTGATTCGAGTTCTTCCCAATCTTTGGCGTTGTTGCTCGCGTTCGCTATGCGCTCGTTGCTGGGTTCTGTTGGGCCGGGAGATGTGTCGTTTATGGTGTAGGCCGTTACAGCATGGGTAGATTTCTCCAATCTGCTCAAGCGCCCGTAAATATCTGCGATATGCCTAAATGGTAATGGTTAGTCTTTGGTGGTTTCTTATGCTTGATAGAACACGCGGGTCGTGCAAACCTCTCTAACAGGGAAATTTTCGTCAAGTTTGCATGCGTTCCATTCTCATAATCAGAGACTTCTGTGTTTCTCTGGGCTTAATGTACCGTTAATAACCGACTTCGAGACCGGGGGAACAATAGATGCGAGAGGAGGATAGAGCCAACTTCAATGAATGGATAAGTGGGATGGGAATATAGCAAGATCATTCCTCCTGCCCTGAAACGACATCTAAAGATGCACTTACCGATAACATAGTGACAAGATAGTTGTCTCGAAGCGCAGTTAGAGCAAGGTCTATTTTTATCACACCTGATCTTCTTCGTACGGCAAAATTCGCATGATGCTGGCTGTTGCCAGGCACTTCTCTTCGGGGAAAGGTTGTCGGTAAGCGACCGCTTCATGGCGCAAACATTATCGAGGTGCAACTGGAACTCAAGTCGATGTGGTTCAAAACGTGCTCGGTTGGTTGAGTCACGAAGTCACGATCACCCGCGCACCTTAGGTCAGCTCGGACCTCCGAAATTAGCGAACCGGTTCGGAGGGCCGAGGTCCAGTTGCCCGCGGACCTCCGAATAAATTGTTGGCGTCAACACGCTTGGAGCAGAATAGCTTCGCAGAAACTCCTCGCAGACTAGAAGTTCCCACAGAAAGGTGGTGACTTCGTGACTCATTCAGGTATGTGAGCAGTGATATATAAAGGTTTGGACAGTACGTACCAGCATGTAGCTCTCGATCATCGACCTCTGCTTGATTTCCTGCATAAATGTTAAAGTCGAGACGTCTGTTCCTCCATCAACTCCTCGTCGCTGGTGGCCGTCAATATGGAGGAAAGGAAGACTGGAGACACTTTGTCCAGGGAGGACGCAGTCCTGACACACACTGTCCTTGAACATCCGCGCCCGAAAACGCAAGACTTTCCTGACGGAGGGATTCAGGCCTGGTTGGCCGTATTAGGCTCCTTTTGTGGATTATTTGTCAGCCTTGGCTGGACGAACTGTAGGAGCAGGATCTTTCTCTTCTCAAAACCAGGTTAACACTTTGTTATCAGGTGTCGGGATATTTCAGTCTTATTACGAAACTCATCAACTCAAAGGCCTGTCTCCGAGCCGGATATCCTGGATACCCTCGATATCCATGTTCACTGTTTTCCTCCTGGTTCGTATACCCCTCGCATAACTTCTCCAGGAAGGCCCAACGCCTTGTGGTTGACTGGTGATCGTCTAGGGACCGTTCGTGGGAAGAGCATTTGACCACTGGGGCCCACGATACCTCCTTCTGATGGGCTCGTTCCTGCACATCTTTGGCCTGATGATGACGTCCCTCGCGGTAAAGTATTATCAGTTCATTTTAGCTCAAGCCATATGCAGCCCTGTGGGTCAAGCTATGATTCTTTATCCATCCTTCGCCTGTGTGGCAACTTGGTTTCGAACGAAGAGGGCTTCGGCGATGGGCATCGTGGCAACCGGATCGAGCTTGGGCGGTGTGATACTCCCAATTCTTGTCAATCGCTCACTTGATAGTGTTGGCTTCGAATGGTCAATGCGAATCTGCGCATTTGTCATGTTTGGAATGCTGATTGTGGTCAATCTCACCGTCAAATCGCGACTGCCTCCAGCACCAACCAGTGTCGGATTGATGGCTTTCTTTCAACCATTCGCAGACCCTCCGTTTCTTCTTACAGCCTTGGCTGCATTCTTCTACTCGATGGGAATGTTCATTCCCATCACATTCATGGTGACATACGGAACACATGTGGGGATGTCCCCTAATCTGGCGGGATATTTGGTCTCAATCTTCAATGGAGCAAGGTAATCTCATGCATAGGCCTCGTCACGAGGCATCATTGAAACTCGCTAACGATCTGTGTTCGAAAACAAGTGGTATAGGCCGTGTACTTCCAGGGTTTATCGCAGATAAGGCAGGAAATTTTAACGTTTCGACCTCTGCTGCCTGCCTCTCAGTCATTTCCACCTTTGCGATATGGCTTCCGGGTCACTCGCACGCCACAGCAATATTATATGCTACGTTGTTCGGGATGAGTTCTGGCTCATACACATCGATTACTCCTGCTCTTCTGGCCCAGATTTCCCCGATTACTGATATTGGTCTACGATCCGGAGTACTCTACGCATGCACGTCTATTGCTGCGCTGGCGGGAAGTCCCATTGGGGGCGCCTTGATCCAGGCAGCTGCTGGAAGTTATTGGAAGCTGCAGATTTTCACAGGAGTCACGCTTACTGCGGGAACGGCTTTCTATTTCTCGACCAAGATGTACTTAGCTAGGGGGAAATTCTGGCACAAAGTTTGAGCAATATACCGGTTGATTGATCCCCGTCTCTTGCCTACCCTGCCAGACAATGCCATCCGCTAATAAAAAAAGGCTGATATTCCCTTGCCTTCAAGCAATACCACGATCAAGATATGGTGTTCGGCTGGAATGTAATTGGACTTGAATGGAGGCTGCATATTTCATGGAGAGACGACGATAGTGGTGACACAAACTCTGTTTCTACGGCGAAGTGATGCAAGAAGGAGCCACCTCGCCCTCACTATCAGAAGCCTATGGGGTTTCAATGGTGGTATTGGGTTAAACCACCAATTTCTACTCGGTGTCGGATTCGGCTGTGAACACTATTCATTCGGTGCTGGTGAACAATGGGGGTATCCTTAATAATAGGCAACCGAAAGAAGCGGTGATTTTATTGCACGACAACATCCCAGCTCATTCTATATCCCCCGACTGAAAGTCAGGGCCATACTCCTCTTTCGAACCGCGATCCTTAGAATCAAAAGTACCGCTCGATGAGCTTCCTCAGCGGGCGCAACCCTCAGTGGACGCGTCGTTAATACCATTTGGTAAGGTGGACCATTCCGTATCATCATACAGCTGGGCTATTAGGCATTACGTTACTGTATTGAACATTCAGCCGCGCAGTCCGGAGGACACCCATGGCGGATGTTGATCCCGATTCCGACCCCGACCCCGATTCCGACTATCCTGTAACCGATCCCGACAGAGCAGAGTCACCCGACAGAGGATGTCGGGTGAGTCGATGGAAGTTCCTGTGACATTAGCTCGCGAAGACGAACACTCACGAAATGAACGTGTCCTCGTGTCTGTGCAGGAGTACGCTGCAAGCACAACTACAGCCGAACGAGATGAATGTAAATCGTCCAATCCCCCTGCTTGCTCCTGGATCCTGATACATTGACAACTGAAATCTTCAGCTCTCTCGCCAAACAACCTAGCATGATGCCAGAACTAAGAATCGAATTACCCAGTGACGGTGTCAACCTAGTTGGTGTTGTGATATGAGGCTCAACCGACTATCATGACATGGACAAAAGCTTTATGGAATAATTCCGCATGCTTGGAAATCGTAAGGAAGCTTCTAGTATATTACTTCGATGTGTATATACTCCTACTTGCGCAGGAAGTAGGAGAACAACAATCAATGCTTCCACTGCTGGAATTCACAACAGTTGGCACCCTATTTCACCCTGATGGTGCCACGGGAAAGCTTCCCACCGTAGTGGCCGCAGGTGGATGGTGCTACACCAAAAAGATTGTGTTGCCGCACATTGCACGCATTGTCAACCAGAAAGGTATCCAGTTCCTTGGATTCGACTACGCAGGCTTTGGAGAAAGTTCGATGGACCGTCGCCAGCACCTAGACCCTTGGAAGCAGATTTCGGACTATCGAAACGCACTGACTTACGTCGAGAGCCGCGACGATGTGGACTCAAACTGGTCCAAAGCACAAGCTCCTGGCAGAAAGATCGCAGACTGGGTACTGGGGAGTCTGCCACTATTCCTGTCCACGGGGTCATGATAGCCTCCGCCAGTATGAACACCTGCCTCTCGTTTCCAAGCGGATGTGTAAGAACTGATATGGGATAAGACCCACTCCTGCAGGCAACCCAAGGTCCACAGATTATTATCTGTGCTCTCTCCACGAGAATTCGGGTGAATGGGGTGTCTCGAGTCTCTCTCTCACACTAGTCCACCTCTTTCTGTGACTGTTACACCTGTATCCACATACCAGGTCTGTGAGACAGGCGATAGTTTGAGCGTAGCCCTCTTCCACCCTATCAACTCCTGCGTACAAGTCAAATCATAGGTTGCTATAGATGAAGAGAAATGTGAAAGTCGATATCTCGGCACCTCGGCTGCCTGAAGGGGTCATGCTTTCGTTCGGCCCGAATGCTATGTGGAGGAATCGCTGCCAAGTCGCTGGCGGAGACTGTACGACTAGCATCCACACCGAAGGGTCGGGGAGGGGAAATAGTGGACAGGTCAGACCACTCAGCTAGAAACCTTGGCCAGCTGAATTTCTGCGACTTTCGAGCGGCATAGATATGACCGTAGAGAAATCAGCTTTGGCTATCCAGATACAACTAGGTCGTAAATCTGCTTCAAGTTGCTTCTTTTACTAGTCAAGTTCATCATGTTGTCTAGACGCTTCTTCTCAGACGATGAAACCTTCAGCTACGAAGCCCTGCGAGCAGCAGGCTACAGCAACTATGGCGGAGCAGACCTGGGCGAAGTCTTCAACATTTGTGCACGGATAAAGGCAGGCGATGAACAAGGCTGGCTACGCGAGTGGAAAGGTGCTGCCGAGAGAGCAGAGCAGAATGCCCAGATTTCGGAATCAAGCGGAAACAAGCAAAGTGCTTTTATTGGATACCTTCGAGCTTCCAACTATTTTCGAACCGCTGAATTCTTCCGACGCACCGACCCTTTCGAAGACAAAGAATCTTCCGACCTGTTCAATAAGTCACGTGACACGTTTTTAAAAGCGATGCGTCTGAGTCCCTACGAGTGCCGGGAGGTCCAGATACCATACCAGGACACAACCTTGCCAGCCTACTTGATGCTTCCACAAGGCAACCAGGCCAAGCTGAAAACCATTGTGTTTAATGGGGGGTACGATTCCACAAAGGAAGAGTCGTGGTTTGCCATCGCGGCCCCAGCACTTGAGAGAGGCTTCGCTGTCGTTGCCTTCGATGGGCCTGGTCAAGGCTCAGCTCTCCGGGAACAACGTTTGACTTTCCGTCCGGACTGGGAGACAGTGCTTACTCCTGTCCTTGATTTCGTTGTGAGGCGGCCCGAGGTGGACAATGAACGCGTCGTTGTCTTTGGATGGAGCATGGGTGGCTACCTCGTAGCCAGGGGCGCAACGTCCGAACATCGTGCAGCTGCCCTTATTCTTGATGATGGGGTATATGACTTCGGCCTTGCCTTCAGAAAAGGCCTGCCGAGTTTCATGCAGCGTCTTATAGACTGGGGTTACGATGGCATATTCGACGTCTTGGTGCAGAAAGCAATGCCTTGGTCGTCTGGTCTTCGATGGGGGGTGCTGAACGGACTGTGGACTTTTGGGTTGAAGTCTCCAGCAGACTTCCTTAGGGCAACAAAGAATTACACACTTGAGGGCCGTTGCGACAAGATCAGAACACCATCTCTTATCCTTGATGCATCTGAGGACCACTTCCTCCGAGGACAGCCGAGATATTTTGCAGATCATCTCACAAGCGAAAATGAATTGGTTACACTCGGCAAGCTTGATGGTGGCGAGACCCATTGCCATCAGGGTGCATTTGGTCGGGTTCATCAAGTGATATTTGATTATTTGGCCAAGAGACTCAGTAGCTGATAAGTAATGGTGTGACTCTTCATGAGCGGCCCACTCTGCTCGCGGAGAGATCCCTATCAAGCAAAGTCTTGGGAATAAGGTCCGTAAATGCACATGCATAGATTCACAAGCATGACTCTATTCTGTTGTTGGCCGGATATCAACTCTGTTCTAGCGTAGCAAAGTGGCTCTGCACAAGGCAGCGCCTCTTTCCTTAAGTCGTCACGGCGCGGATAAGTATGAGCATAAATTTAAGAAGACGTCGAGTCCCGAGAATAGTCGTAAAAGCGGCAACGTCTGCGTGAGCGCGCCGTGGGCTGAGCAGCTCCTCATTGCTTAAAGCGCCAAGAGACAGATTCAGCCCCGTCTCTCCCTGCCATCATCTTCCCCTGTATCAGAACGTTTGAGGCAGTGACTGTCCTTGCTTAGCACTTAATCATCCAGTACATGGTACTGATCGAACTCGATCAAGCTCCTTCTCAGCAATGTCAGGTCTCGACTTGTCACGCACTGCCTGCACACGGTGTCGTAACCAAAAGGTAAGTGCGCACGCTCTGATGCAAGCGCAGCTACTAATCCCAGTGTGATGCTTTCTGCAACAGCTCAAGTGTAGCCGCGAGTATCCCAACTGTCTCCGGTGCAGAAGACTTCACGGACATTGTGTCTATCCGCGGCCGCATGACCGTAGTAGACAGAGGGCCGAGCGAGCGCTCGCGGACGCCGCGACCTTGGCCGAGTCAATGCAAACCCGGAAATCCCATCTCGAGCCGCTGCCATCGCAGGGAGATTTTCCTAACTCAGTCTTAAGCCGTCAGCATTCACCACAGCACGAGCAGGCTCACCCAAGGTATTCCATTCTACCTGGACAACATGTACAGACGAGAATAGAAGCGTATGTCTCATCCACAAACTCTGAAGTACTGAGGACGGTGGTAGACATTCCATCTGATGTATGTTGGCGAAGCTACTGGTTCGAGTTAAGTTAATCTCTACAAGTCGTACCCTCACCAGCTCCGGGACGCCCAAAACAACAGAGACAACGGTCAAGCAAATCATGCACCGCGCGCCGAAGACTGTGCGCTACCACCGTTTTCGGCCGGACTTGGGCTCCTGGAAATATACTTCTCGCGGGTTTACAACGCAAGCCTCCTTTTTTGGAAGCCGCTCCTCTTCCAGCAATATGTTGAGGGCAAGATACCCGCTTTTCTACTTCGTGCGATTTTTGCAATTTCGGCTTTGTAAGCTCAGCTTCGCTCAAAAAGACAGCCGCCTAACACTTCTAAAGATTTGTGGATTCGAACCAGCGTAACTTGGAGGGGTACTCGGAGCTCCGTGCTCTTGGTGCTTTCCGTCATCTCAGTCTTTCTTGGGCCCAAGCTGCTGCTCGAGAAGCATGCTCCCTTGCAACGCTCGATCCATCGCTCGAAGTGATCCAGACTCTAGAATGTCTGACGTTGTATTGGTTTGGAACAGGACAATCCAAGAGTGGCGACCTCTCGCTTGGTAAGACTCCGAAACCTGCAGTTTTCGTCTTATTGCTCACGCCTTTTCTAATAGCGCTTGCGTATCGCTGTTGCTGTGTTCTGGGCTTCAATCAAAGCAAATCCTCAGAAATCCCTAAAGCATCACTAGATGCGGAATTGCAAAGACGATGCTTGTGGGCCTGCTGGGCCTCCATGTGTATTGTCGCCGCACCAGAGCCATACTTGCGCTGCTGGTGGTCAGAAGTCGCACAAGTTCCTTTACCCGCACGAATTGACCGAGAAGGCTGTGTTATCAAAATCACGCAAAAACAGTACCTGGACGCGAATTGGGTGCCTCATGATATACAGGGTCAGGAGGGGGTCGATCACGTGCTGCCAACAGCGGCGGTATTGATGAAAATGGTCGGAGTCTGGTAAGCAATTTATCGATTAACATGGCAAAGTCTTGATTCTTTCGCATCTAGGGCGAAAGTCCAGTTATTCGCACTAGACCGTCAGGACAGTGGTCCATCCTCCATACTCGAAGAGCCGACCGCTCTTGCAACATGGGCCGCTTCGGTTCATGCTTCAATTTCCTTAGGTCAGCGCCAGAAAATCCTTGACGAAGCCGCGCCTGGAGATGTCTTCGATGAAGCCCACCTGCTTTTTGTTTGCGATGCCCTCCACAACCTCTCTCAAATAACGGTCTACTCCACAATGGTACCACTATTCTGTGGTCCAAAAGCACAGGCGAGTGTTGATAGCTCGTCGGCCCAATTAAGTGCAAGAATTGTGGTTGAGAACGCGTGGTCGTTCGCCAATCAGCTTAAAGCTTATCGCGCATCTCGTCGAGACGCAACGTACATGTGTCCGCTTATCGGACATTGCGCTTTTACCACTGCAGCAGTTCTTCTCACTTTCGAGTTTTCTCGTAGGAAAAAAGGGTCTGATGGTTTCATTCCAGGACTCGAATCCGTTGACACCGTGTTACCGATAGTGCAAACTAACCTCAAGATTCTTGGTGAACTGTGCAGATATTGGGAAGTCCTACGTCGACCTGTGAGTGATCTGTCCTTCATCTCAACACAAGTCCTGCCTCTACAACTAGCTAATGCATACTCTTAGTGCGACAAGATCTTGGCTGCTCTAGAGTCGCTGACAGTGAGTGCTGGCGCTAGAATCTCTTCACTCTCAGTAGACAGTGATAGATCTACTCGTCAACACCCTCGCCAGGCTCTAGCGGCGCCCTTTGCAAGCAACCGACTTCATATCTCGAGTCAGCCAAGCCATGGTCTTCAAGAGCAGCTGCATATAAACACTGACATGCCCCTGCAACCACCTTCGGCTAATGGCAGCTCACAGCTAACAATTAATTACCTGTCCTTTAACCCTGAACCCCAAGCCAACAGTGGTGAAATTCTCTACGATATAGACACTCTCGGAATGGACGACTGGTGGAATAGTTCCTTCACAGATGTGGGCTATGAAAATCTGGCAGTGCTCGAGCCAATGATGCTGTCACGTGGAAGTTGGGATGGACTTCAATAAAGTTATATAATGATTGTGAGACGAATTATGACTTGGCCTCGCCACACGCGATCGGTACACGATAGGACGCACCAATTCTAGCAATGCTGCTGAGAACCAATCTTTGCTATGGCCAGCCGCGGTATTCGTATCGGATCTCTCTGAATACAGGCTCATATGGCTAGTACCAGGAAGGATCTGTATGTTCTTCAATGGGGAAGCGATCCTGTTGAAAGCCTCGATGTCCAAATCCCACGCAGTGATGTTATCGCCCTCAGCCACAATCATGCAGACCTTCACGTCCAGAATGCGTGCGAGGAACGGGAATACTGAAGAATTGAGCAACAGTTCTGCCGATTCTGTTGTACTCCAGTGCTGATGAAGAGAAGCTTCATACGTCTGTAGCTGCAAGAACACGTCGTTGACGCGGGCAAAAGGCCACACCGAGAGTTCTGTGTCAGGAGTGGTTGTTGCAAACGGTATCTTGCCGCCCTCACCCTTGCTGCGCGCCCTGCGATCCGTGAGGATAGAGTTCTCAAAGTCGCGGAACCGACTCTCCCCGTGGACCTGCTTCATATTGGCGTGACCATCAACGACAGGCACCACGCTGACGGCCGCCTTGACGCGGTTGTCGATTGCCGCCAGGATTAAGGCATGCCCACCACTGTACGATATGCTGAAGCCACCGAGCCAGTTTCGATGGTATTTGCAGAGAGTCAAGCAAGCAACAATATAGCGCAATTATGTAGTCCAGATAGAAATACGGAACATTCAATATGGACAAAACCTAGAAATTCGGCTCTAAAGTATGGAAACCATGTGGTAGATCGATAGCCACGTCTGAACAAACGAACCAAGCAATATGATACTAAGAATCTGGGACTGAATCGCGAATATCGGTCCCATTGTACCCAGGCTAAACTTTGCGCTTAATTCTTTTGAATAAGTACATCACTCTTGCAGAGTTCGAAAGAACGTCACACTGCCACCATACTCGCCAACTAACATGAACCCTGAGGTTAACAGCATCGCTCATGCCGGTTGCTATTCCAATCGGCTAAATAGTCATCGCACCTTACCATGGTAAATGTTACCAATAAAACTCTTCTAAACGCCTCTCGATGTTTTAGCCCTGAAAATCAGCTATCTCTATCGTATAAGATCTAAGGAATGCACACTTTGTGGGCTTTCTCATGTCGTTTCACGTTACTACGTACGCTGAATCTTTTCCCGCAATGGGCATAACTGTATCTGTATGGTTTCTCTCCGGTATGCGAATAAGTATGGACTTTCAGAGCGCTCGGTCTCGAGAATGACTTGTTGCATGTGGAGCAAAATGTAGCCTTCTTGTTGCCAATGGTCTCCGGGTGAATTCGCAGTAGCATAGTGATAGTGATGCTCCCAAATGTGTGACCTTTGGTGATCGAATGGAGGTACGTTGGGTCCAGGTATAAACGGTGGGAAGTGTTTGAGAGGCGGGACTGGCTGGGCGACGTTTCCGTATGTGGCTGCTTCAGTTGAGGGACTGCGAAATCCATCTATGGGCTCGGATCTAACAAGCTCGTCAAGTTGTGCAGCATGAAGTGGCGGACTTGGATAGGGAACTCACTGGCTTCCTTCAGCTAGCTGACGATATGGTGACGGATGTGCAACACTGTGAGGATAAGAATGGCAAGGTCTTTTAGTGGAAAGCTCAGGTGAAGCGGGAGGTGGCAGGGGTTCTGGAAGCGCAAAGGGACGAGGGTTATCCGAAGCGGCTCGCCTCTCCCAGCTTCTACTGCAGCCTCGGGAACAACTAGGTATGATTCCCTGAGAGTATTTAAGTACCAACGAGGACAGTTCGTAGGCCTGTCATATCGTGTTATTCTCACACGCTTAGGACCGCTTCACCTATCTTGCTGCTTACCGATACAGATTTGACCAGATCGGTAAAAGATGGGAGCACCGATACAGCTGTTCTCACCTCTTCCCTTGCGTTGTGGGCAGGCCGGATTGTAGGAGACCAGACCACACCATGTATGTCTTGACTCGAACGATGAGCTCGTGAAATTGGTAAGGCTATGGCATATATTATCGAGGCAACCATGAAATTTTGCATTGAGCCGGCAGGGTCGTCGACGATAAGGGAAGGAAAGGTACGTGGTGTTGCTGCTCGTGGTCTCTATGCGCATTCGGTAACTCAAGGACGTTGGGGCGGTGCTTCACTCTGCCTCCCTTTGAACAAATATCAGCTCGTGCAGTGGCAGGCGGTGTGATAAGAGAGCCCGTGGACTCAATCCTCAGGTGTGCGAATTTGGTGGTGAGACTGGGGTAGGACAGTGATGAGTTTCAAGAAGCCGCTGTCCCGCCGTCAGCGGAATACCCTTATTATGCCGCACGAGAAGAGAGGCTCGGTAAACGAAGGGCATGCGCCGCAGAGACGAGGGCTGGACACTGCTTTCGTATAGGTGCAGGAAGGAATTTACGCTGGAGATATCTTTTCAGGCCAACATGGACTGGAGATTGCAAAAGTCGATGCTCTTACATGCGTCACGTGATTTTATTTAGGTGACCACGCTCAGTGAACAGCTAATTCAAAGCTTAGGCGACCAGGATACATTGAAGCCTAATAGGGCCCCTGTATCGGGTGTCTCGCGTAACTTGTTCTAGACGGCGTTCACTCTGTGAGACGTGCAGGTTTACGCGAGCTGGTAGCCATCCGTGGCTAGAGTCCCTAGGGATATTTCTACCATTGCCCGGTCCTATGTCGTTGCACGAGCCCTCGATGTATGCGCTAAACTCTAAATAGTTAAGCGGGGGTTCGCTTGGCACTCTTGCCATAGCAAGGAAATACTTTGAAATTCAGGTCACTCCTTCGACAAACACATCAGAGTCGACGACCTCTCGACTCGCATCAAATGCCATGGAGATGTCGATCAAGGGCCTGGGGTAAGTTGGGCGATCTTCTGACTTCAGTACTAATCAGTCACGAATAAACAGTCCGTACTATTGCTGCGCATGTACCTCTTGTCGTGCGCAAAGGTTTGGTTCTACAATGACTTTTCGTTGCAACTCCAATATCGCATCTAGACATCCGATTCTATTCGATTACCCCTCCATTACGATGGCTCAAAGGCCTCTCACCGCTCCTCCACCTTTTGTCCTCCTGTCTGCGTCATTCCCACATCCACAACACAGCACCCGGCCTCAACGTCATCGAGCTGCTTGGACTCCTGAAGCCGATCCTGCGTACTGTCTGATATGGAAGAGGAGGACGACCTCGTACAGTTGGCGGAGGATGACCTGTGGATGAATGCTATCAAATTTGATCCATTCGACCTTGTCGGACTCGCCCCAACAGCGGACTTGACGTGGGAACTCTACGAGAAACGCCTAAAGGAACTGTCGCGGACACTCCACCCAGACAAGATAAGCCTGTTCTACTGCCAGGATGAAAGAGTTATTCTCGGCAGACCACCATGGCCGCGGCAACACCACGTCAATCTTCTCCGAGGTTACATGTCCAATCTTTCCGAAGCAGCACGAGGAGTTAGCTTCACGAGAATGAAGTACTTCTGGCGTCAATACAGTGTATCAACCTGGAATGCGGCCGCATTGATTGCTCATGGACCTGTCGCGATTGTCCTTCAACCCGATCCCCAATATTACCCTCAAGCTCTTCGGCCCAGAAATCATGTCCCTGGCTGGCGCAGGTCAGTGAAGCTGCCTTCACAATGTGAGACCTGTTCAACTGACAAGGTGACAGCCCTACGCAGAAAGAGATCAACGATGGTATGGTAGATGATTCGGGTGCATGGAAGAATGAGAGTGGAAGAAAATTGTTCCCAGATCTCAAGGCATACTCTCCGTACAATAATCCGCGACACACCCGTGAATATTCTGAAGGACATGCCTCATCAATGAGGGCGACCGCGCGCCCATCTGCAGTGCATGA